CAGGCCCTCCGCATCGAGGCCCGCTCGGCACAGCACCTCAAGAAGCTCAACATCGGCATGGAGAACAAGGTGGTGCAGCTGCAGAGGAAGGTGGACGAGCAGGTACGTCCTGGGCTGTGCAGAGATGGGCCCGGCCCAGCCACCACTTTGGGCCTGCCCGTGTCATGTGGGAAGGGCCGTTGTGAAAAACGCCAGTCACTTGTTTTTGAAATGTTAAAAGGTTAATAGTAATAAAGTGGCTATAAAAATAGCAATATAAATAGAGGAATGAAAATTTGAACAGTTGGGATTAGGACAATACAAGACGAATAAGAAGAGTTATGGACAGTCTGGGTACCTTTTCTGGGCAAAATAAGCCCTAAAAAGGACACACATTAACAGAGGATTAACCCTTAAAAACAACAGCCTGTTGTATATTCATCCACCTCATATGTGATGCATAAATTCCATTCAAACAAAGGATTCTGTCTGATCAGTGTCAGCTTCTTCCTCTTAATCCTAATGGCATCTTCAGGACTGAGCAAGGCGGGAAGGAGTTAGTTTCTTCTGATAAGAGAGCAATAAATGCTCTTTCTCTGAAAGATGTAGGTGTCCTATGGCTGCTATCTTGATGCAAGTCCTTCCTTTAGAAAAGTATCTTACATAGCATAGTTTCTGTTTTAACATTGTGTTATAATCTAAAATTATATTTAACACACTACTAAAAAAATTAATACAGCATAACTTTCTGACATAACACATATAATATTGATTTTAATATTTGGAAAAAGCCAATCATATAATATACATTTTTCACAGTCGTGTTGGTGGCAGCTGAGCATTTGTAAGGGTGGGACACAGCCTGCTCCAAGCTGCACTGGAATTGTTGTGGGGACTACCCAGCAGTAGAGGAGGAAAACAGAACAGCAGTTTTAGAAAGTGTTGCTTGAAAACCCAAGCCAGCTCCACGTGGCATCCAATGTCACGGGTTTGGGGCTGAATTGCCCTGCTGTGCTTTTTGCTCTGTGGGCACTGAGTGTGCAGAGTGTGTGCCACCACTGGCATTGTGAACTGTGTGTCTTGGGAGTCACATTCCCTGGAAGATAAAGAGCAATTTGGGTACATACTTTGTGTTACTGGACACAACAATTCTCCAGGAGTAAGGGGAGGGTGGGATGGTGTGATGTGACAGATCCCTGCATGGCATGAGTTAATGAGCTTACAGTGACTCTTCGATCACAGGGGTGTTTTCTTCAGTAGCCATTTGCCATTAATAAGCTGCAGAATAATGGTTTGATTTTACAGACATAGCAGAATAATTTTTTCACCTACTAATGTGTGCAAATTACTTTGTTAAATACTTTCTGTGTTGCTGTAAAAGGAATTGAGGGGTGATCATGAGAAATGCTGAGTGGGGCCTAGTTGTATTGACTAATATCAACAGGGAAATTCATATCTACTTGTGCCCTTAAGCTGAATTTTTACAGGTAGGAAAACATCCTCTTCAGCTGGGATTACCCCTTATTTGTAGCACCAGTTTGTGATTATTCCAGTTTATCATGGTGAGATGTTGTCAGAGACCCTTGTCCATCCCACATGGCTCATTCACCAGCTGAAATCTCCCACCCCAGTGAGACAGGAGCAGTCCTGTGTTGGGGGTGATGACAAGGGGCTCTGTGTTGGCTCAGGCAGTGCAGAGTCAGGACACAGAGGGGGTTGCATTGCTGTGGTCAGCCTCACTGGAGTGTTAATTGGCTGCAGTGCATTAACTGCACCGCAGCAGGGTCCAACTGCACCACAACAGGGTCCAACTTCCAGACCCTGGTGTTTAATTTTAAAATGCCCATTTCCATACTTAGATTTTGCTAGCAGTAACTTAGGAATGGGAAACTCTCAAAATAAAGTTTGAAAGGTGTGACCTTTCATCCAGGAGGTATTTTGGTGGAATTGAATAGGAAGAGTCGTTCCAGGTTGAGATAATTTGGGCCGAACTCATTAAAAGAGTGTGAACATCAGTGTTGGATCTGCTGAGCAGCTGGGCTTGACACTGGAACAATAATAGTATTTTATAGTTTGTATTTTCCCCTATTTCCTTGCTAGGAGAAGTGTGGCAGTGGAACAGTAAAGGAAAAAACCAACATTTGGTTAACATTGGCTTTTCTGTCATGGGTTATGAAAGCAGCAGAAGGATCTGCTTTAGGGAAGGAGTTATGGAGAGCTTTTAACCAGGCAGAAATAATGGTCTCGAGCCCATCTTGCTCTCCCTCAGTCTCTCCACAGACCACTTTGTAGGAGTTTCTTTGATGCTTTCTGTGTTTCTTTTGCAAGAAAGAATTCCTGCTCTGGCTTACATGTGGTGGTCTGTCCAGAGAGCTGAATTTAACCATCCTTCCAGGGCTGCCAGGTTTCTCTGGGATGCTTTGGAAGTGCTGAGGAGCATTGTCCCAGCAGATTCTCTTTTCTCAGTGCACTGAATCTTTTTCCTGGCACGGCGCATTTGCAGTATCATAGCTTCCCTGAAGGATCTTGCTTTCAGTCCTTGCTAATCTATAAACACAACCTTTGAAAATACCAATTAACTTTTCAAGAAAACAAAAAGCATATAGCAGGTAACCTGGAGAGCTGCAGTTGTGTTGTTTTTTTTTTGAGTAGCTGTGGAAGAAAATGTTTCTATTTCTGCTACTTTAGCTCACGCATGAGTAGAGATGCAATCCTCCGTGTGCCCCTAAGGAAGAGATCTTTCTTTGAAAACATTAAAACCTATTATTGTACATCAGCCTCGGCTCAGATGCTCTGGCATCTGTAACTGGAATCATTTAATTAGGTTTTTTAATCGGTGAGGGATGTTTTGCACACAGAAGAAAGATTTTGATCTATTTTGCTGCAAAACATCCTCACTCGAGCACTTTCTTTTCTATTTACATTGGACCAATTCCTTCTCTTTTTTTTTTCTGTTGTTTTTTTTTTTCCTTCAGGTAATTTTCTTTAAATCTGTTGGAATTGCCTGAGACACTTAAAAGGCATGTGCCTAATTTAGTGTTGCATGTTCTTGCAGCCAATATTTAGACACACTGCGAGCTCTCTACACTCTCTCTGCAAGCACTACTGTCTCTGTGAGCATTTTTGGGAATAAAACTAGTTTGGGTAACAAGCTGAGGAATTTGTTACATCTGCCTTTGGTAGCAAAATAAATTGGGGTTTTTTCACATAGCCTGGGTTGAAACCACGACTGTCTCAAATCTGCAGGACTGGATAATGGTTGAAAATAAAGCAAGTTCAAATTAAATAGCGTCTGTTGAGCAATCTCTGATTGCAGTGGGGAACAACCCAGTAAATGCTCTCTCATGTCAGTAGTTTTTTATAAAACAACCCAGAACCATTCCTGTGCATTTATCTTGTATTTGCATGAAAATCTTGGTTGGGTGCTGTGTGAAACCATGGACACAAGGTTCTGAAAATGCATTTATTTGGAAATATCTTCCGATCCCCTGCTCTGGAGCCAGCCTGGCACAGCTGGGGCTGCTCAGCTGCACCAGAGAAGCTCCAGGGACACCTGAGAGCCCCTGCCAGGGCCTGCAGGGGCTCCAGGAGAGCTGCACAGCCCCTGGGGACAAGGCAGGCAGGGACAGCAGCCAGGCAATGGCTCCCAGGGCCAGAGGGCAGGGACAGATTTTGGCCCATTGGGAATGAGGAATTGCTGGCTGGGAGGGTGGGCAGGCCCTGGCCCAGGGTGCCCAGAGCAGCTGTGGCTGCCCCTGGATCCCTGGCAGTGTCCCAGGCCAGGCTGGATGGGGCTGGGAGCAGCCTGGGACAGTGGGAGCTGTCCCTGCCCATGGCAGTGAACGTGATGCCCCTTCCAGCTCAAACCTTCTGGGATTCTATGAAATACCTTTGGTCATGCAGAAATTCTAATTTCCTAATATGATACGAATGCTGAATTTTGATGTTCATTAATAATGCATTACTAGGGAACAAAGGAAAAAATGTTAATATGGCTCATTTACTTGTTTTTTTGTATTTGAGATGTGTCTTTATCTTGCTTCAGAGCACGGAGATGCAATGAGAGGGGGTGCTTTGGGAGGTCACCTTAATAGGGGCCAGAAGGATGATCAGAGCAAACTTTAAAAACCAGAATGCATTTTAAGTTTCAAAATTCTTCTTGTGGTATCAAGCTTATCTACCCTAAGTCAGCACAGCTTATGTAGTAGGCTTTTAATAATGCTCTCGGTTTTTGGCCTGGTGATGCCTGATAATGATGATGTTTTATTAGTCACAATGTAATGCCCATTGACTTTGATTTGAAGCCCAAAATTCAGCGAAGTCTGCTGAATTTTCAGCTCTCAAAACTGGGGAGAAAATCAGTGCTAAATGCTAGAAGTGAAAACCTGAGCAAATGAAAGGATGGCTGAGCTGGCACATGGCTTGAAACTGGAGTTTGGGGAGCTCCTTGTGCTGGGAGCTGCAGTTCTGCATTGTCACTCCAGGTTTCTGCAGCTATGGGATTCAGGAATAGCAGGGTAAACTGCAAAAGGAATACTACAAAGCCCCCCAAAACTGCAAACCAATTATATTAAGCAACGCTCTTTGGAAGCTGTAGTAGAAGTGTAGTATTTTGGTTTGGTTGCAAGTGCTATCAAGAGTTATTTGCCTTTTCTCTGAGTGATATCAGTGTAGTACAATTTGACAAATGCTTCTGTAATCGTTGCCAAAATATTATTGAGCTTTTGTCACAGTTTATAAATAGCTTTTAGCTTTATGAGCTTCATTAGGATATGCATGGGAACGTTTGTTATTGTGGGTCTGTCACCCACCGTGCTTGGGGATTTGAGTGGTTACTTTTGTACTGCATCACTGCATGCACTGATGTCACTTGTGCTCTTGTCTTCTTCTTCCTGGGATGCTGGCTGCAGAACAAGGAGAACAAGCTTCTGAATGAGCAGCTGTCCATGCTGACATCAGCCCACTCCTCCGAGGTGGAGAAGCTGAAGAAGGAGCTGCAGCAGTACCAGCAGACCCAGCAGGGCGATGGCAAGCAGCTCCTCAGCCTGCAGGAGGAGATGGAGCAGCTGAGGATGGAGCTGGAGAGGGCCCACAGCGAGAGGGAGGTGCTGGAGGACAGCCACGGCAAGGAGAGGGACCTGCTGAGGAAGGTACGTCCGTCCGTCTGTCCGTCTGTCTGTCTGTCTGTCTGTCTGCCGCAGGTTGTCTCCTGCAGGTGGCCATGCTGGTGAGAGCTCACTCTTCGCAGCTGTGAAGGGAAGTGTCTGTTGTTTGAGTGGGTTTTTTTTTGCTGCTGAATGCCCCTGGGATTTACAGCAGCTCCTGGAGCAGGACAGGTGGACATCCCTGCAGGAGCAGTGGCTGCCTTGTGTCAGGACACCCCGCCCTGGTGCCTTTTGTGCTGCCAGCAAGGAAACATCCCAAACTAAACACATCTGGAAATCAGGATGCCTGATAGCCACGAACATCGTGGAATCACGGAGTTGTAAAGGTCGAAAAAGACCTGTAAAATCACCAAGTCCCACCATCAGCCCACCACCACCATGTTCAGCACTAAGCCGTGTGCTCAAGTGCCACATTTGTGTGGTTTTTGAGTACTTCCAGGGCTGGTGACTCTACCACTGCCCAGAGCAGTCTGTTCCAATGCTTTACAAGCCTTTCAGTGAAAAAAAAAATTATCCAATATCCAATCTAAACCTGCCCTGGCACAACTTGAAGCTGCTTTTCTTGTCATGAGATTCATGTAAATGCCAGAGCTTCATGTGTATACAGTGATTCCTCATGGTGCATAATGCAAATTACTGGGGAGGTCTGTAACAGCTGCTGCAAATATTAGGAAGGTGTAAATATTCCTCTCCCCAGCCGGGGATGGGACACAAGGCTCAGTTTCTGACATAGCTGGTGGTGTAGGTATGCACAGAGCATGACCTATGTGAGGACCAACTTCCCTCCCTGAGGAGAGGCGCTGCTCCAGCAACACTGCTGGTTGTTATGGTCTTTTATGGCATTTGGAGCTGGGATATACACAAAATAGATTTATTTTTTTTTCTTCCTCCTTCATGCAAATCCACAGAATATCCTGGTTTGGAAGGGACCCACAAGGACAATCAAGTGCAGCAATCCTGTTCTTTATCTCTTGGGGTGGGAGCAGTCCAGCACTGCCACCATTGCACAAGAAGTCATTCTAGTGGGAGGAAGAGATTTCAGAGTGTAAAGTTTGTTTTGCAAATAGCAAAGATGGACCTTTTGCCCTGAATTTCTTCACTGATCAGATTAATTCTGAATAACACCCGTTCTCTTTACCTGAGGCACTGACATGAGAGTTCAGTGTCCTTCTGCAAATGCTTGTGGCTGCTCAAGTTAAATCCATGATATCTCTTCTGCACCAGAAATTGAATTGAATCTTTGATCTTGCAATTGGAAAGAATTTAGGGATTTTCTACTCAATAAATTACAAAGAAAAAGCTGTTTCGCAGCTGTTATTCTAAAACAGTACTTGCTGTGTGACGACCTGAAGACGAGTCACTTTTGGAAATTAAAAAAAAAAAAAAAAAAGCCTGGAATTAGCTGTGTTATTATTACAGTGGAAGAATGTCCTTATGAGGCTCTTGCAGGGCACTTGACCCAGCACCATTGCTGTGTGAGCCTCCCCTCGAGGCTGAGCCCTCAGGTGGTGGGTTTGGCTGGGAAGCTGTGGTGAAGGACTGTGCTCAGGGTGATTTACCCCAAACCTCTGGCATGACTCAAATGCACTTTTGGGTGTGCTTCTCAAAGAGGTGAACGGTCTGTACGCTTGCTGTCCTTGGCTGGACCAAGAGAGCTGCCAGGTGATCACTTGCTCCACTCCTTGCGCTTGTGGTGCACCACACAGGGGACATATGTGAAACAAGCGATTTCCTTTTAAAATTATAATATTCTTTTTGGCACAGGGCTCTGTTCATTAGCTGGGTGCAGCACAGGCTTTTAGGGCCTGAAAGGATGCCTGATTTTAAGGGTGATGCAGCTGGGGATAAACTGTGTCTCTTTGTTCTTGATTGCAAATCGCCTTTGAGCACTCGGATGGAAGGTTGGATTAATCACTGAAGAAATGCTTTTAAAAAGCATGAAAACAAAGCAGAAGATTTCCCTTGTTGTAAAAGTGCCTACAGCAGAGCAAATACTGTGCATTTCACCATGAAAATAGACAGTTTAATTATAAAACCTTTCTAATGGTGCAGGCTCCTATTTCTGGCATTAGCTTTGCATTGCTCCCTTCGGTTCCTTGTAAGCGGGAAGAGGGAGAGGCCCTGTTTCCTTCCTGAAAATATTAATTTATCCAGAACACTTCTGAAGAAAAATTTTGGGAAGAGATTTTTGAGTTGTTCTAATATCTGCTAGAAGCTGGGAAGCCTCATGAAATTAAATTCAGGTGAGAAGCAGTTTTTGCCTTCAGTATCAAGAGGACCCCATGGGCATGGTTGTAGTGGGATAGATTCTCAAAGACATCTCACTTCTGAGTGAGACTGAGATGAGCCTTTAATTTTTCTGAAGCTCCTGCAAATCCATGTCAGTTATGATTAAGTTAATGAAAAAAAGTCCTTTAATCTCTTCATCACAGCTATTCTGTCTGAGTCCTTAGTTTTAGGACAGCTCTTCTTATTTAATTTTATGATTAAGTTTGAAACATCTGGGTAAGTACCAACAGCTCCTTCCAGGGCTTTAGGTAGCACCTATTCTTCTTGCTTGGTAGCTAGGACAATTCACAGCCTGGCCAGGAGTTTCATTAGGAAAGTGCCAAATGCCATCATCCTCTCCTTACAAGACTGCGGGAGGATGGGAGGCAGACCTTATGAGCAGGCTGTTCCAGGGAGACACTTAGATAAGAGCTGCAGCCATCACAAGTGCTCCCTGCTCAGCATCTTCCACAGAAATCTTTCAAAGCAGGTGCTCTTGCACTTGAAGCACCTCCACAGATCTGTTTCCTGTGGAAAGAGAAGCAGGAGGCACAAAAATTGCCCGTGTAGGTATCAGGGATGGAGTTGGTGCTGCTTGGCCATTGTGTGGACCATTCATGTTCCCACAGGGCTTGGTTGCACACAGGTTTTGATCTCTGAGCTTATTATTCCAGTTTCATGTAGAAACAGGAATGCAGAAAACAAATCCAGTGGCTTAAGAGAACATCTTAAAAATATCTCTACCCAACCGGGATCAGAAATTTTAAAATCTGGGAATAATTGTTGTGGATTCTGTTAAGTCTTGCTCTTCCAAATATCCTCTCAGCACAGTTGAGAATACTCAAGATTTTTGTCCAGTTTTGTTTTCCAACCATCATAGCTTTGGGCAGAGAATTCCTAATCAGCACCCAATAAAAAGCATTAGTAAAATAATCCCACTGTTTTTAATCTTTTCCTCATGGGACAAACAAGTAGAGCTCCTTGGTGTCCCATTGCAGCACAGGTTTTCCTTCCATTTCATCACTCCTGTATCTCTTCTCCAATTTTTAAAAAATTCTTCACACCTTGAAGACACTAGTGCTGATCTAATGACAGATGTGATTTATGGCGAAGGAGTGCAGTTGGTTTTGGTACAGAATATTAAAATCTTGGCTCAGTTCACAGCATTTAAAACACTAGTAGCTCTGTATGCTTAAATTGTGAGGTTTTTCACTTTCTAGTTGTACATCCAGACTCCAGCCTTCTAGGAGAGGTGCAGACAGATGTAATGCAGAGAACTGGAGTAAATTAACAGGGAGAGTAACGAGTGGGGAGCTTTTTCAGTTTGTGCATGGAAAAGGACTGATTCAGTTGTGACTTACAAGGAAATATTCACTGTGCTTTTGTCCTCATCATTAGGATGTATCTGGCATAGCCAGTGTTTGATAAAATGCCTTAATTTGAGCATGCTTGCGTGGAAGACTGAAATCTGTGCTAGGAGTGCACGCCAGCTGGGCTGCCTATAAATTTAATCTAGTGGTGACAGCAAAATTATTACTCTTGGGCTCTGGAAACTCTTATTATGGTGTTTACATTGTTGTTTATCGTTGGTGCCTTGAGCTCCTTCTGCTGTGTGTAGCTGTTTCCTAAGCAGTGGCTACAGGACGTGGAGGAGCAGGCACAGGGGATGACACGTGCTGGGATGATGTGTGTTCTCCCCCTGACAGCAGCAGAATCATCCTGCTTAGCTGTGGCACTGTATTTCGCTTGACAATATGATGGTTGTGTGTTTTGAGATAACGCTGTTGAATGCACCGGAATTCAGGAAGCTGAATAATGTTCCAGGATTGGTTGCTGTCAGCATCAGCCCAGCCTTGCAGTTGTGACAAGTGAAAATAGCACTTTTCAGGATTTAGTTCCTCTTCTCATTATTTTTTACGAGGCAATTGTTGTTAATAGTTGCTAAATACGCTGCTGTTGTATTGCCAAGAGCCCTGGAACATGTCATTCCTCGCTGTACCAGGGGTTCTGTAGTTGTGGGAAGCACTGAAGTGACTCATCGTGCGACATGGATTGGGTACAATAAACTTTAAAAAGCCTGATCTATTCGCTCAGCTCACATTCACTGTGTCCATCTCAGCTCCTGAAGTGCTACATCTCTGGGGACAAACAGCAGATTTATTTCCCCAGCAGCTGTGACTCGGTGTTGTGACTTGAGGACAATGATGAAGCCCATTGAAATCTAAAAATAAACCTCTGATTTGATGACCTGATCACTTCCAAGAGCTTTGCTCCTGCAGGTCGTGGCCACCAAGTCCAGCTGCTCAGTATTTTGTAAGATTCTGCTGAAAATGTAGATTTAGGGGAGAAGTGCACTCAGGAAAGGGAAAGTTGTTCTCTTTTGTAGCAGTGCATTTCCCCTGTGTTTCTGCTACCAGTGTACAAAGGATAAGTGGCAAAGCACAGGGGAACAGATCTCTTAAAGAGCAAAGAGAGGCCGAACAAAGCCCCCTGTCTCCTGCCAGGTGAAATTAATCCCTACAGGAGCCCTGCCCTGCAGCCAGCAGTAACTCTCTGCCTTGTTCCCCAGCGTATCTGCGACCTGGAAGAAGAAAACGCTCTCCTGAAGCAGGAAAAAGAGGAGCTCAACAGCAGGATCCTCTGTCAGTCTGAAGGTAGGAAAAACTGCCTATGGCATTGTCATGCCTCCATTAGACGAGGGCTTAATTTTCTCCCCTGAAACTAATTTTCCCTGCCTTGAAAAGTGCTAATCTTCCCGTGACCCTTTCCTGGTGGCTTCTGTCTCTGTTTTGGTGTGCAGGTAGCTGTGTTCATGCTGTCCTACTGCATGGACAGAGCTGCTTGCACAACGGGTAAGGCAGAGGCCAGTTTAATTGGTGAAATACAGAATAAAGTACCTAGCAAGGCTTTTTAGTTCAGTTATGTTAAAGCATTTCAGGCAGACAGTGTGGGAGGCAGTGAAGCTGATCGAGTAGGGAATAGCTGTGTCCCAAGAATAATTAATAAAGGATCCAAGGGGCAGCACAATTCACATTATTGAGCTGTGGCAAAGGATTTGTCTAGTGTGACAAAAGCCAGTGTTTTTTAAAAGCAGAGACTTACTGACAAGTCATACATAGGGGAAGCAATGTGGGAAGATCCCATTTCACAAAAGGAGCTCTCCTGCATGTATTGAGCTTTTCTATTTTTTTGTCATCCTCTTCAGCTTTGATTTTGCAGCAGGATTTACAAAGGTCATCCTGCTGTGGATGTAACTACCACTGCTCTGTGGTACTTGTGAAGTGCCTTTTGCTCCTAGCCTAACACAAACCAGAAGAATGAAGATAACATATTAAGAAGAGACTTGCTGCAAATATTTATTTGTCCTTTACAAGATGCTTTTGGAGCATCTAAGATGGGAGAATGGAAGAGGAGAGGGTTGGTTTGTTGTTCACCCATTTAAAACAACACATGGGCTACATTTGCCAGATTCCTCAGGAAGAGAAGGGACCAGGTTTGCTTCCAGTGGGGAGTTATCAACAAATAACTGAATTTATTTGGATATAAATTTCTTTGAACCCCCACAACCTTGCCATGGTAAATGGTTGATGATGACATGAGGAAGAGCTGCTGTTGTTGATTTGCTCCTACGTCAAAGCTGCTGGTGGGAAGTAGGCAGGGAAGTTTTAATATAAAGCAAGCACCACTTTTCAACCCAAATGTATTTCTATACCGTGCTGGGCTTTTCTTAAGTGGGTTTATGGCTGGTCCATGGGAGCTGGAGCCACAGTTAAGTAATGGTTTGTAGGCACTGGAGACTTCTCTTTAACTCAAGGCAAAGGATTGCTCTGCAAACAGAAGAGCTCAAGCTGTTTCAAATATTGAGGAGACAAATACACATTATAATAGTCTCTAAATATTACTGAATACTTACATGTATTTTAAAGGCTCTTGGCAAGGAGTATTTTGTTCATTAGTTGTTGTTGTTGTTCCACATGTTTACAAGAAGCTTGTTTCTCAGCTAAAGTTCATAATTTCTTTTTTTTTTCCCTTCTTATTTTAAAGATGAATTTGCACGAAACACAGTTGAGGAAAATATGCAGATGAAGAAGGAGCTGGAAGAAGAGAGATCTCGTTATCAGAACCTGGTAAAAGAGTATGCAAGTCTGGAGCAGAGATATGACAACTTGAGGGATGAAATTACTATTTTTAAGGTAATTAAACTGGAATTATCCCTGTTCCCTTGTGCCCTGGACCTATGTTGGTGCCTGGATAGCATGGCTCACTCACCCAAAACATTTAATAGAACTGTCATTAGTGGGCAGTTTGTGCTTGATATTTCTAAGGATGCCTATCTGCACTGGAGCCAAACCTTTTGTGTGCTTGTTCTTCCATGCTTCTCTGTGAAATGCTCAGAGATGTCTGTGAACCTCAGCAAAAGCTGGCTCATGCTTGTTGTTGTTTTGCTTTTGTGTTAGTGATGTTCATGCGTAGGTATTGGGTTAAAAAAGCAAACAAACAAACAAAATCTCCAGCAATATGACTTCAGAATTTCAAAAGCCAGAGTTTTTAGGTTCAGCATTGCTAAAGTGTTAGAAAAACTGTTGAAAATCAGAGGGCTGCTGGATTTGATGGAATTTTGAGTGTTTTAAAGAGGGTCCTGGAGGGTTCTGTCAGCAGCATAACCTTGAGCTCAGATTTGCACGTTCATACTTACCAGGCATCTGGTGTCATGAAGAGCCTTTAATTCATGCAGAATTTTTAAGCTGGGCTTCTATATCTTTTGCACTTTGAAGTGTTAATATGAATTTTAAGGGTAGGGCATAAAAACTTAGAACATGTAATTCTCTGTGAGGTAACTTAAGTATATTGTCACATATTTGCTCTAAAGAAGCAACACTTGGAGAGGAGTCCTTTAACACTGGGTGCTTTATATGTCTGCATCATTTCTTAGCAGCAAACACCAGGGCACAGGAGAAACCCATCCAACCAGAGCAGTTTGGAATCTGACTCCAACAACCCATCCATCTGCACCTCTGAGATCGGGGACACCGAGGATGTGATACAGCAGGTGGAGGTACAGCAAATGAGGAGGGAGGGCAGGGGAGCCCTGCTCTGGGCGTGGTGGGTGTGGGGTCTGCAGCACAGGGGGGCACTGGACAGCCTGGACAGTGAGGTGGGATGGATGAAATTGATTCCATGCTCTAGAAATGCATCGTTAATCGTGGGAGGGGGACTGCAGGGTTGTGGTGCTCTGGCAAATTCTACTTGTTTGCAGCATCAGGGCTCTAAAAATAATGCAGTGCTGTCTTTGGGCCATACCAGCTTGAGGACTGATGAAAATTCATCACAGCAGTTACACCCAGTGCTGATGGATCATGACAGTATCACGATCCCTCTCTGCAAGGACACCAGAATTCATTGGCCTCTTGCCCTGAGCATTTTCATTCCCAGGCATCTTCATGGATGCTTTGCTGGCCAGCACAGCCCTGTAATCAAATCAACAGTCTCCTAATGCAGAAAAGAGCAGCACAAATTATTCCTTGGCTATCAAGAATCCTCTGGAAAAGGGAAATGTGTTTTTTATTTACATCTGATAGAGCAGGCTGCTTTTTAAACTCCACTTTTGACTCTTGAGCACTTACGGGTGTTCAATATCCCTAGGGTCAGCTCTACCCTTGCAGGACCATAGTTTGTGTCCCAATACACACCTGCAGAAGCCCCCATTTTCCTCTGCTGGCTGCTGCATTATACTGCTTTGGTATTCTTGAACAGCTCCAAAAGCATTTTCTGAGGTCAAAATAATCAGTATTGACTATGTTTTGATATAAAATATTCCAGGTGTGGTAGTTAAAAAACCCCCACAAATAAACACTTGACTAAAAGGGACATTTTTTGTGTTCTTAGCTGCATCATCTACTTATCTGTTGGGCTGTTAAGAATTCAGTGATGTATCAAAACAAGTCAGGTATTTTACTGACATTAAAAATAGGTGTTTAGAATGTGGATTTGCTCTTTGGAAGTACATGTGTTTCTTAGGATGCTCTTGTTCCTGGCTGTGGGTGATGTACAGACTGGGTGCATCTGCCACTGTGCATGGGTGTAGAACTTGAGACTGAAATCTTCTCTTTTTTTCCCTCCCTCCTGTCCTTCTCCAGGAGATTGGGATGGAGAAAGCAGCCATGGACATGACCCTCTTCCTAAAGCTGCAGAAGCGAGTGAGGGAGCTTGAGCTGGAAAGGAAGAAGCTGCAAGCCCAGCTGGAGAAAAAGGAGCAAGAGAGCAAGAAATCCCAGGCAAGAGGCATCTTTTCATGGATACTAATATTTCATATTTGTAACTGGCTTTCCTTGATTGCCTGAGGCCACATGGTGTAGGAATTTAGCTTTGGGAGTGACAAGTTCAACATAAGGGGCTACAAATCCATCTGGAAAATGGAGATAAACTTTTTTTTTGTCCACTAAGGACAATTGGACAGGAGAACTGCTTTATTTATTTGTTTAAACAAACTGGTTATAACATATTTAGTGCAGTATCTTAAGCTTCTTGAAAGCAATGAAATGTGGAATCAATTTTGGCACACCAGCACTGACCCTGTGTCTCATGTGTGGTGCCCTGCATGTTCAACAACCCTCCCTTTTGGATGATTTCTTTTATTCAAGCATTTCTTTGCTGTCCTGACTTCCCTCCATCCAGCAGTGAGTGGCATGAACTGGAAAGCACTTCACACCCATGTCAGTCAGGCTGGTGTCCCCATTTTGGTTTTATTATCATCTCTGTGTTTTGGTTAGGTTTTTTTCCCTCAGTAATGATCATAGAGAGGAATACAGGTTAAAAGTAGTGTAGTAAATCAGAAATATCAGGGTTGCTGTTAGGAGAATGGGTTCTTAATTTCTGTTGCAAGGCAGGGAAGTCTTTTGCTGCATTCTTTGTTCCTTGTGAAAAAAAAACACCAAAAAACCAAACAAAAAACAACCTCAAACTTCCTAAAATTTGAGTTGCTTGCTTGAAAACAAATTAAAAACATGTATATCTAAAAAAATTAAGATCACTGGCAGCCCAGTGGTAACTCAGGGGGCAGGAGTCTGAAAATGCAGCTCTCTGGGTGGTGGTGAGCTGACTTCTGGGCTGGGGGGTTTCAATAGCAGATCTCCTGAATGTGCTTTCGCTGCCATCTGTAGCCAAGGCTCTGTGGCTTCTCAGAGGCCAGAGTGTGCTATGAAACAGCAGTGCAGGTGTGTGCTTGGTGCCCTGATGCACTGAGGATGCTCTTTTACAAATTGCTGGGCAAATGCCATCCCTCTTGGTTACATATTTGGAATTTCTGGGGCTCCTGTTGCTTTGTTTGGAAATTATTTTCATTATTACTCTCCAGTGTGAGATCAGTGTACCTTAGAACAAATGCAGTAGGAGACTCAACAAAATCATCAACAGTAATTATTTACTTGCTTCACTAGATATCCTTATTGATCACCCCTAGCAATTTGCAGGGAAGACATGAAACGGGAGACTTCCCCAGCCTCTCATTCCTGCTGCAGGAGGATTAAAAACCTGTTTTCCAACTGCTGTGCTGGAGATTGTTCCCTTAATGACTGTCATTGTTTGAAAGCTGCAGCGAGGCAAATTTGTCAAGATATTAATGAGAGATTAAACCATTTTCTCTCCGAGTGTCCACTGCCCCACTGGTGTTGCCGGGATGCTGTCTGATGGCAATTAATGACATTATTATTATGGTTGAGCTGGCCAGCAGAGCAGAATGCTGATGGAGACGTGCCCGGCTACCCTGTGCTGTGTGCCAGTTCTTCTGCCTGATCCTAAATAAAAAATTTACTCTTTATTCTGCACAGGTAAATGAAATAAAGACTGAAGTGACTTCAGAACATGAAGATTTTGCATACAACAGCCTGAAGGTGAGTGACAGGCTTCTCCTTAGTACTGTAACTTATTGCATGGCTCCAGCAGCCCAAACAAATGGTGTGAATGTGATAATAATCCAAAACCTGCCGTAATCAGCTCTGCTAGATAGAGAGGGCAGTTGCAAAACTGTAGTTTTCCATCCTCTCCTGGGCCTGGGATGCGCTCACATATGTGTCTCTCTGGGGTGACATCTGTTTTCTGCTGATCTACCTGTCTCTGAGTCATCCATGGAGGTAACGACCCCACTCGTGGTGAAGAGGAGCATCTCCATGCTTTTTCCATGGCAGGCATTCCCTGTGGGACTTTGTTGGGCTCTCTTTGACAGGCACTGCAGGTCTCAGCAGCTGGATTTGCAGCAGGTGTAAATTCTTATGGGCTGTTTCTTGTTCCAGGCTCCACCTCTGCTTCTTAGCCATCTTCTTGTGCTATCCCAAGGTGCCACTCAGGTCAAACCCAGATAAATCTGTGGAGTGATTTGAGCCTCTTTAAATGGCTCCATCTCCCATCAGAAGTGCTGGCTGACCACAATCATTTTGTGTCTTCCCAGTATTGCCCTACCCTAGAATTTGTCTTGCTCCCAAGCTCAAAATCCTGACAGTTTCTGTCCCTGTCACATTCTCCCTGTGACAATCAGAGCAACTGAAACCTCCTGGGCTCCTATTGCAGCTTCTGTGGGTTCTATCCTCCTGCTCTAACTGTATTAAAACACTTCTGGCCTTAACTGTCTTAGACCACTTTTTATGTCCTGCTTATCCTCAGAAAAGCAGTTTCTAGAATAGCGCTACTAAGGGAAATTTTTTTTTATGCTGTTGGTTTTTTCAGTGCAGACCCAACTTTCCGGTGTTCCTCTCTCCCTGTCCTATTAAAAAATACTGCAAGGCAACTGAGAAGTCCAGAGGAACATATGTTTTGCAGAATAGCATGATGCTAAACCATCTGTCAGTGGTAATACTAATTTTTCCTTCTGCATCATCTCCTCCAATGGACGTAAAAAAAAAGCAGAAATTAGAGATGGAAAGGATGTCCAGCCCTCACTAACCCCATAGAGTACCAGTAGATTTTTATGATACTTAATAATCCAATTTTATTGTCCTAGCCTGATATTGGTGTAGCTCTGGCTAAATGTGCTGTTTGTGGTGGAGGGAAACCCCCATAAATTTCCTTAGTACCTCTGCATAGTCCCCCCAGAATAAGCCTGGCCAGGTCACTGCTCAAATGTCCTCCAGTTGGTTAAACATGCTTGTGGAAGATTTGAGTTTCTTGACCTGGTAAAGCAAAGTGGAGTTGCAGTTTGGAAGGGGAAACCCAGGAGATGAGAACCACCACCACCTCCTTAGATGGCTTCTGGAATTCCAACTTCTGTATGAGTTCACAAACTGTGTTTTCTTCAAGGTTTAACCCTGGAAGTTCAGAGTGGGAATACTGATTTTGGATTTTCCTACTTTCTGCACACGAACATACTAGCATTCATAGTTCTACATACCTATCAAATTTTAAAAATTGTTAAATGTTAAATTTTTAACAAATTTACCAATTAATGTTAATGCTATTTCATAAGAAGAGGTGGCATGTGTTGCTAAAAATGCAGGGTTTGTTAAACTTTAGTCTAAAATAGAGGGGAAATGAACCTGCAGGGGATTCACATTCCTTGTAGGAGTGTTTTCCTGAGAAGGACCACTGAAAAAGACAGACAAATAAACTTCCCAGCTATTCTCCCCACATCTGAACATGGGACACAGCCTAAAGTCTCTGTCTGCAATGCAAGAGTGACTTACTGCAGATTTTGAGGGCTTCTTTTCCCTCCGTTCTCCTTGACAGCTGCTTCCAAGGCTATGACAAAGCTATTCTTCTCTTCTCTTTCTCCTGTTAATTTATAGCTCAAATATTTGTACTATCTCTGGCTCCTTAAAGAGTTTCTTGTGAATATGTTTATTTTTCATTTTTACCAGCTTAAAAAGACTTTATCTTGGGGAAATAGTCTGAGGTGCCTAAAAGCTCAGACAGGGGACAGTCTTTCTGTGGATGCTCTTGAATGGCTTGTGAGGTACCAGTCAGTCAGCAATGGACAGGGACACCTTTCCCTGTCCCAGGCTGCTCCAGCCTGGCCTTGGGCAATTCCAGGGATCCAGGAGCAGCCACAGCTGCTCTGGGCACCCTGTGCCTGCCAGGGTCTCACCACACTCACAGACAGGAATATTTTTCCTCCTTTGTGATCTAAACCTTCTCTCTTTCAGTTTGGACAAGATGAGCTTTAAGCTTCCTTAGCTTACAAACTATTTCTTCCCTATTTTAAAGAAAGATTCCATATTTTTACGTCCAATTTCAGACATTTTTCGCATCCACAGACCATTAAGCAGGACAATACAAGGTGTGGGTGCTACTGGATGGCTGTGCAGGTTTGGCTTCTGCAACCAGCACATGGTCTGATACTTCATAGCTGTCTGCTGTCCTCCAGCTTGGTGTCTTGGTGTAATTATTACTGTAATTATTACTGTTATGGCACCCATGATGGCAGGGGTTTGCCTTTGGATTTAGCATCTGCTGGGGAGCCTGTTCTTGATGCAGATTCTGATGGAGGGAAGTGGGTGAGGCACAGTGCTCTGTTAGAGAGGCTCGCCTGGTTTTTTAGTTTTGTAAGACTGAAATGTGTGAAACTTGAGCTACCACTGATAAATTTACATGCAGAAGTTACCTGTCCTTTGTAATGGAGAAATGCATTTCTCAGGAGATGCTGTGCCAAAATACACCCAGCCAGATGTTTGGTTAATCATTATCCAGGAATGCAAAACAGGGAGTTATGTCCCTCAGATATGCCAGTGAAAAATGTGTTTTCCTTGTTTTTTCAAGCTGGGAAAGTGGCAGTGGGAATGAAAGCACCAAGAAACTCTTGCTCTGACTCCATGTCCCTGAGCAACCTGTTCTGGTGGCAGCAGTCCCTGCAGCTGGACTAGATGGCCTTTAAAGGTCCTTCCTCATTCACACTTTCTAGGATTCCAGGCAGGAACATGATGCATTAATTCAGTTTCTCACTTGTTTCCTCCCTCAGAACTGGCAGCTCATCATAAATGAGCTGCATGGAGGATTTAATTTTCTTTTCCTGCAGAGTACCAGAAAAGAAGAGAGGGGGCAAAATCCTGGCGTGGCAGTACTAACCTGTGACTTAGGCAGACTCACACTTCCCCCAGCACTGCTCTGTAGGCCCTTTGCTAAAAAGGGAAGATATTTCCATCACCATCAGTGCTCGGGTTACCCTGTCAGAGCTCTTTAACACTGCATCTGTTGGGACAAGTGGGAGTTCAAGTTCAGTGCGTTCTGACTGTAAAGTTTTTTTTTGGTCAAATTTATTTGTCAAATATTTGTCAAATAAATCAGCAGGACTGGCCTATGCTGAAGAAAGAACATTTTTCACTTTGCCAGTAGAAATCTCCACATCCACAGCATTTTATTTTAGCTTCTGATCTTCCATGGCAGGTGCTGATGCAAAAAGGGTGTGTGAGCTGGGGACAGAAGGTGTTTTAACACTGCTCTATGAAATCCACAAAGAAAGGAGCAAGGAATAAACTTAAATGTAAATTTTGAAAGGAATGTATGGTAGGGGCTCTTGGAGCTGAGTGATTGGTATTTGCTTTCTTTCCTGGTCTTTCTGGCTTTGTTTCTAACCAGAGCTTGAAATGACCAGACCTTGGAGTTAGCAGTGTGGCTAACCCATTAAAAAAAAGAGAGGGAGAAAGGGACACAAGGAGGAGGAGAGCAAAGGTTAAGAAAAAGGAAAACAGAGGTCTTGCCCAGAAAATAACAAAACCCACAGAAGAGTTATTTTAGTAGAAAAGCAAGTGACTGCTTTCACCATCAGTGAGGGGTGATGTAGCAGGAAGAGTTAAACCCAGCTTGACACCAATTCCCACCATGCACACACTTCCAACTCCAGTTTAAACACCAGTTACAGAAAAGCCCATGTCTCATATGCATGGTTAATGGGGAATTAACCAGAATTGATGGATCTAAGGCATTTCTTATCCTTTTGTTTTTTTCATGACAGCTGGTGTAAAGTACCTGAATATGCCCCATTAGTGATGGTGTCTGTTCAGCTAGGAGCATGCTGCCCAGATGCCAGATCAGCTATTCTGCTCACACCTCTGCTGTGATAAGCCATGCTATTTATAATTTGTAAGGATTTATAATTACAACACCCGTTTCCTATGGAAATGGGGTTTACACAGCTGTGCTAGCTACACACTGTGTAAATTGTATAAATTGCCCCCATCCCCCCCAGCCATTTTTGGATTCATTAGCTTGACTCAGCCCAAGCTGATAATGAAGCAGAGATCCCAGAGATAGGAGGGGTTGTGAAAGGAAGCCCTGGAAAGGCTCAGTAAGTAGCAGGGAGATGAGGCATGTGGGTGACAGTGGGGAATGATCTTGTGCTTTGTAGACACTGGAGAATCCACATGGATGGGGTTGGTCCCCAGGCAAGAGCCGACCCCTCATCAGACAGCAGACGTTGTCAGCTCACGTGCAGGGCTGTTGGCTTGTGCTGTGTTGGACAAGGGTCCTGTTGGGGTTTGGTGTTCCCTGAGGAGTCTGGGGGTGTGGGGACAGGAGGGAGCACTCCTGGGTGGCACCATGCAGCAGCCAGAGGTGGAGGGTCATGCCAAGGAAGATGGGTTGTTGTGAACAGGACTCCAAGGAGTCTGGCTCCCAGCCAGTCTGTGACCCACAGCAAGGGCTGATGGTTTTAAGCTTGAAGGGGGTGGGTTTAGATGGGATATTGGGAAAAAGTTCTTGGCTGTGAGGGTGGTGAGGTTCTGGTTCAGGTTTCCCAGAAAAGCTGCCCCTGGATCCCTGGGAGTGTCCAAGGCCAGGTTGGATGGGGCTTGGAGCCACCTGGGCTAGTGGAAGTGTCCCTGCCCATGGCAGGGCCTGGAACAGGATGAGTTTTAAGGTCCCTTCCAACCCAAACCATTCCATGGCTCTGTGATTGCGCCATGTGCAGGAGCAAAGCTGCTCTTGACCCAACAGGGATTCTCCAGGTGGGTTTGGGTGGTGGCACGGAGCTGCCAAATGTTGTGCTGCCACCTGCAAACAAAGCTTTGTGGTGACAGACTAAAAGAAAGGCTGTCCTAGCTGCCAGAGCTCTATTCTTCTGTCTTCTGCTGCCATGCAAAAGTGAATAAGCCCTTCAGTTGTCTCAGCTAAGATGTTGTTATTCAGGAGAATCAGTTGGCATCGAACTAGCACAGTGTTGGCCCTGCCTGTCAAATGCCAATGGCTGAGGAGACATCAGGGTGAGGAAATCCTCCAGCTGTAAACACTGCACTGGGGTGGGGGAATTACAAAAGAAAAGGGAATTCAGAGACCCATGGCTCTACTAAGGGATGCCTGCCATGATGGTAGTTTGGACAAACAAGCATCTTCCAGCTTATCTAATGAATATGAAAGGTGAGCTGAATGTTGTTGGGGTTGTGTGATTTATTGATTCAGAAGGAAAAGAGATAGAGGAGAAAAGAGCATGCTTAGCTTCTTTAACAGCCTGCTTTTGTGTTTAGAAATAGTGTCAACAAATAAAAAATACCCCGGGTCACCCTGTAGTGTTGTTATTAAACAGCAACAGGCTGCTGACTAAAGCAAAAACCTTCCCTGAACCACAGATGGCTGGGCTGGCAGCAAAACCCAGATCCTGGCTTGCATTGATCTGTAACCATTGATAATTGAGTCAGCCTAGAGGAATCTCAGAACAGGATGAGGCACCGCAGTTTATTTAAACTGCTTAATGGCTCGGTGTTTTCCAGAGGCAAGAGCTGGAGTCGGAGAACAAGAAGCTGAAAAATGATCTCAATGAGCTGAGGAAGGCCATTGCAGACCACGCCACCCAGAACAACTCCTCCAACGATGTGCAGGACGGCTACAACCTCCTCCTGAACCAGCTGAAATTGGCCAACGAGGAGCTGGAGGTGCGCAAGGAGGAGGTGCTCATCCTCAGGTCGCAGATCATGAAGGCAGCCCAGCAGAAAGAGACGGGGAAAAACATGGTAAAGGAGAGGATAATGGTTTTTCTTTTTTCCTTCTTCCCCTCTGTTGGTGCAAACTCACTGGCTGCCTGAGCAATGCCATTCCTGCTCTGGTGGGCAGGATGGCACAGGGAGATTATGGGGGGTTGTGCAGGGATACAGGATCTGCTGCCTGGGGATAAAATGCAATCCCTGGCATTTCAGACAGCCCAGGACTATCTGCGCCTTGGTACTGCTGTAGGGTGCCTACCCCCACACCTGATGAGGGTAAGCCAGCCCACACCAGCCCTGAACCAATGTGTGTAGTTCAGCACGTTCCTGGTGACGTTTCACAGCAATAATATTTTCCTGCAAGGAAATGGGGTGAGGGAAAAGAATTTCTAGACCAGATTCTGCTCACTTTGGGCTGGTCAGCTGTAATGTGTTTCTTCTGACATGCAGGCAAGAAGGGAGCCTGTCTCTCAAACAGCTGGGATGGGATTTGTATTTAGAGCACATTCTGATGGAAGGCCACATTTTCCAGAAACTCAGTCTTTATTGATTTGCTGTCTTATCATTCCTCAAGGTTTTGGTGTGTTTTATATTTCAGACCAAGCCAAGCACCCTGCTTATCCTCTTCCCAAGTTCACTGCATCTTTCTTCCCTCTCTTATCTCTCCTAATGCACGTGTGTGGATTCACAGAAACTCAGTAGTGTGGTGGATGCCCCAGGGATGCTTTTAATAGAATAACTGGGAGTTGTTTGGTGTCAGGAACTTTCAGGGCTGGGCAGAGTTTTAAAGCACGAAGTCACATGGGTGTTTTGCACATTGACTTTAGGAGAGCATCTCCCCCAATGCCAGCTGGCCCAACAGTGACCGGCACGTTGACCAGGAGGACGCGATCGAAGCCTACCAGGGCATGTGCGAGACCAACCGGTAAGTGTGGCACAGACCTCGCCAGCACGGGGGGGATTCTGTGTCAGAGAGGGACCCACACAAAAATCAATGTATTCCAGAGGGCTGCCAGCCTCTGGACTGTGCAGTGGACTCGAGGGTGGGCCATAAAGGTGATACCAAGGACACGCGTCTTACGGAATTGTAGAATCCCAGAATGGTTTGGGCTGAAAGAGACCTTTAAGATCATCTGGTTCCAGTCACATACTGAGCAGGTGGAAAAGCAAACATGAGCAAAAGCAGGTTTTGACTTTGCTTCCAGTATGGGAATAGCAGGAAGACTAAGATTTGGGACTGTATTTGTATTTATTTCATAGAATTCACAGAATAACTAGTTGGAAGAGACCTTCAAAACCATCGAGTCCAACCCAGCCCCAACACCTCAACTAAATCCTGGCACCCAGTGCCACATCCAGGCTTTGTTAAATGCATCCAGGGATGGTGACTCCACCACCTCCCCCAGACAGGCCATTCCAGAACTTCATCACTCTTTCTGTGAAAAACTTAGACATCCAACCTGTATTTCCCTTGATGTTGCTTAAGACTGTGTCCTCTGGTTCTCTCAGTTGCTGCCTGGAGAAAGAGCCCAGCCCCAGCTGAGCACAGCCACCTTTCAGGGAGCTGTACAAAGTGATAAGGCCACCCCTGAGTCTCCTTTTCTCCAGGCTGAACACCCCCAGCTCCCTCAGTTGTTCCTCAGGTGTCCCATACCATGTTGGGAAAATGCCACAGTTCCCTTCTGGTTTTCCCAGAGGCAAAAACCCATCATGGTTAACTGAGCTAACAAACATGCTGTATTCCCTGAAAACACTCATATTACTGGTTTTCTTACACCCAAACTGAGTGTCAGGAACAACTGTTTTACTGCCAGTTTGCCTCAATAAGGATTAATACTTTGAACATATATCTGTCCTGACAGTAACAATGGGTGGATATTGCCAAGCATTAAGTCAGTCCTTGCAGCGGCCCAGGAGAATACAAAATAATAAAGCAGTATCTTGCAAGAAGAAAAAATTATATGGATTAAACAGCAAGATATTATGAAAAGTAAATTTTTATTTTACTTCAAGGAAATTGAATGTTTAACTTTTTTTTTTCTCTTGACAAATCCAGATGTTTGAATCTTTTCCCTCCCTAAATAATTTCCATTCAGCAAGGAAGAAGACCCAGCCATTGTGGATTAATGGCTTTTAATAACACAATATGGTTTGCTATTTCGTAGAGTGGTTGCAGAAGGCTGTTAACATTCCATGCTGGGACTTGGCTTAATGAGGATTTTATTCACACCTGTATGAATATGAGGAAGGGCCCATTTAAGTGGAGCTTAAAACCCTGATGGCTGGACTGAGGCTATTCTGCCAGCTTTCATCAGGTCTGGAGGCCTGGAGCAGTGGGGATTGTTGGGATCCAGGACTCTTGTGACATTGGTTTCTCACCTGGGCATCATGTCTGGCTAAATCAGGACTAGTCTTTGTGGGGCTTTTTAATTTGCCATTGAATATTTGCTTTCCTGAAGTGAACTTGCTGATGAAATTTCAGCCCCTCCTGCAGCAGAGGTGATGAGATTAATTTGCACATCACATTCTTGTCAGTAAATCAGTGGAGCCCAGTGTGCTTTCTGCAGCAAGGAGTAGGTTTTGGTCACTTAATGAATTCTATGAATTTTCTCTTCTTTCCTTCTTTTTCCTTCTTTCCAACTTTCTCCTGGGTGCTCATATGAGATGTGAAATGCCATTGTTGGGCACAGCTTTAATTACTCCCTACATTTTCCAGTATGCAGGGAAGGTTAGTTTGTGTTCAGGGGCTGGTGAAGGAGTCAAAATAAGGGTTGCTGCATTCACAGGAAATGTGTCTGACCCAGGGGTGTCACTGGTCCCCAGTATAAATTGATATCTGGCTATACTGGTGCACATGGCCTTCTGTAGCCTGCCAGGAGGCTCCAGCCCTCCTCCCAACATTCTGGTTTCCCCACTTGACTTCCGCAGAAATAACTGAATTGTAGAAACATTTAGGTTCAAAAAGATGAAGTTTCGCCCTTCCCTCAGCACTGCAAAGGCCAGCACTAAACCATGTGCCACATCCACATGGATTTTAAATCCCTCCAGGGCCTATAAGTTTCCAGGACCTAATTTTCCACAGGAGCACAAATCTCTTTCCTTGCAATTGCATGGGTGAGCTGCACTTCTAAGAAGTTCATGTGACCTGGCCTTGGTGGTTTTTGGTCTCTTAAGTTTCGGGAGGGGAAATCTGCAGTCTCCAGGGTCAGTTCATTATTCTGTGAAGCTTGACTGGAGCTTGGCTCCTGAAATACAGCAGCAGTAGCTCTATATGTTCTCACCCTGATTTTCTGCAGTGATTTATCCAGTGGCTCATTAAGCACCACAAGCCTCCCCATTACAAGGCTCCCTGTGCACTTGTCTGTTTATTGGGCTGGTTTATAAGCTGTAGGCTGGTGTTGATGGCAATAAAATGGATGAAGACAAATGCTTGGGGAGCCTGGATTATTGTGTTTGTGGACATAAATTAACATTCCCTCCCCCAGCAAAAATTTTCATTTGTACTTACACAGCTCTATACCCAAGGGTGTCAGCATGAGAAACAGAAATGCCTTCACTTTCTACTCTTGATCAATACATATTTTAATGGGAAGCTTTTCTGGTAAGGTTGTTCTTCACCAGGCCAGGCTTGTGGATGTGGTTAAACCTCACTCCACCCAGGAGGTGCTCCTAGCTCCAAGTCATCATCTCTGAGCTATTTAGGCTGAGAGCACAGCATGGCTTTATTTTAGTGGGAGATCAACCTTTTATTCTCTCCATGTCTGTGTCATGCAGCACTTCTAAATACAGCAGGAGGAAAACAGGAAGAACTCTGCCAGGTGCTGCTAACCCTGCCCGTGTAGGAATTCTCTCCACAAAGCTTCCAGAGGAAAGCCCTTTGATTCCAGGTCAAGGGCAGGTTTGAACTGACATCAGACTTTATAAATGCATTAAAATTAGGTTTTTTCTTTCGTTTTTTCCTTTTTTTTTTTTTCCCTAAAATTCTGCTGAATTTCAGCTGCTAAGAGTAAAATCAAGTTAGCTCCTACGTCATTTTTCTCCTACAATAACTGAATCTAAATCTAAGTAGGCTTTTTGTTCCCTGTTTCAGTTCTAGGGATCGTTCTTTCAAGCCTCTTTGATCTTGGTGGGAATGCAGAGCCAGTGAGAGACCGGGTGATGGTGTTAAGAGACAAGAAATAACCTGGCAGCTCAAAGTAAATCAGGCTGGACCTTTGAAATTAGCTTCCATGATAGCTTCCAAGTGATTTTGTTGAGTACATGGATTTTTTTTCCTGTTGGGCAAGTCCCACCTGCGGCTCCTGTGTAAAGGGAAGAGCTGATTCTGGCTTCACATGAAGGAGGCTTTTGCAGCTGGGAGAGACCATGATGTGGAGATCCTACCACATCTCAGCCTCCCACTCTCCCACGGGCATCTTCCCCCTCTGCCTTAGTCTGTCTGTGATGCACAGTATTCTTCCTTTTACCTAAAACAAAAATGTCCATCTCTGCCTGAAAGTGAAACGCCCCCTTTTTATTAAGAGAGGATCATTTACTGAGGATGCTGAAATTAACATCTCTGGGTTTGGGGTACATGCACCTCCTTGAAGCTGCTTTCACTGGGCAGGGAGGTGTTTGGGCAGGAATTTTTTGCTTTTGGTAAGGACAGTTTGCTGACTGCAGATCCCAGCTGCTCCCCAGACCTATGCCTCCAAGATGAGGATAAAGGGATTTGTGAATCAGCCCTTTTAACTCCTCTCCAGACTTATTTGAGAATAGGATTGACCCAGCATTTTAGAAAATTATGATTCAGATGCCAGTTACTCTAACTATGTTGAAAGGACCTCTTTTTATGTCTTGGTCAACATGACCTTCTGGGAGAAGGGGGAATGCAGTAATTTCTGAGTCAGTGCTGTGTTGATGGTCCATAGAGATGGACTGAATGCTTATTTCCCAGTACAGGTTTACCTTAAATCAGCATTTTTATATATTTATCTTATAATGGCATTTTCTTGAGCTTCTCTCCTCGTTTACCTCAAAAAGGAAAGAAAGCTATTTTTCCAAGGAGGGCTGTATTTTTAAAATGCTGCTCATCGTGTTAGATTTCACAGGTTTCTGACGTGCAATAAATAGTGGGGACCTTCCTGCTTTTTCCTTTGGTTTTCAGTGCCTGAGGACATGTCCTGATAAGATTATATGAACAAAAAAAAAAAAAAAAAGGCTTTACTAACAAATTCATGCTAATGAGACCAATAAACCTCCCTGTATCTGTCAGCCTGCAGACCCTTTTGGAAACCTGCTATGTATGGGATAGCAACAAGGTTTTAATTGAAATTCATACATGTGGCTCTAACAGATGAACTTTGCAAGTGTCAGTGCCTGAAATGTTTGCCAGATTTGAGAAGTGCTGTGCTTGAGCAGTGGCACGGGAGGGATGCACGAGCTGTCTGTGGTGGTGAGGCACCTCCAGAGCCCCTTCAAAGCAGGGCTGCAACACCACATTTCTCACTGCTTCCCTCCTGTGAAAATTTGCTCATGAATGTTTGTGTCGTGCTTTGCCACTGAAATATGCAGAGATTCCCTTGTTAGGGAACGGCATCTGTTACAGCTCTTTTCAAAATGTGTGTTTGGCTTTCTTCTTTTTGTGTTTTGGTTTTGTTTGTTTGTTTGTTTTTAATATAATGATATATTAGGTTTGATGGTTTCCTTGCTTACTTTTTAAACTGTTATTTCTTAAAACAAACATTTTTTTCTAACTGACATCAAAGCCATGTAAAATCTTCCTGTAACAAACATTTCTGGTCAAGCTGACCAGCTTACATCACTCATTTGTAATGTGTTCAGCCCCTCATTAAAGAAGATAAATCTTGCCTCATGTAACTTGAAAAAAACCCCAAACAATCTGCTAAAAGGAGACTAAAAAAGCCAACTGCTAAAAGTATTAAAGTGAGATGAGACTTTCCTGGCCATTATTCTGCCTGGCTGTATACAGAGGAGATTGATCTTGTGTGGATGCATGTGGTGTTTGGAGCAAAGGTTGCTCTGAGGAAAGACAGATGTGTTTGAGTCAAATGCTGAGGAAACCCTTGGCTGAAGTAGAGTTCATTTTAGACCAGTGGGAGTTGCTGCAGTGGGAAAGAGATGGAGAAACTTGTTTTTAAAATGTCTTGCAGGGCACAACCAGGGCAGGGCTCTCCTTCCCTGTGGTGGAAAAAGAAATGCAATGCAATGAAAGTGTGCTCTTGAAAACTAATACTGAATGAAATACATAAGGCTTCTGCACCTTTCCCCCTTCTCTTTCAATTGACTTTTTGTCTTTCTCTGTCCTCTTGTTTCCCTTCTCTGTCCTTTATTTCTAGCAAGACTGAGGACTGGGGCTATCTCAATGAAGATGGAGAGCTCGGCTTGGCTTATCAAGGTTTAAAGCAAGTTGCCAGGTCAAACACTTTCTGTTTTCCCCCACTGCTGCTTCTGCCTTCTCCTGCCTTTTCCTTGCCCTCTTGTTCCTTGCTCTTGCTCTGCTGTTGCCTTGTGGTCCTGGGCAGGGCCCTCTGTCCTCCTGTCTGGGAGCAGCTGCAGGAAGGATTTCCAAAGTGCAGGAATTGGGACCCTCCTGTAATTTTCAGAGGAGTCATGGTTCCAGTTGGCCATTGCTGGTGGTGGCCATTGTCACTAATGCCTGAGCTGTGATCCAGTAAGGGTTATGTGACACTAATGGGAAATTGGGTGAAGGAGGGGTTGGGAGGCTGGGATCTCAAAGAAGACAAAAAATGCCTCCCATTTTATTTTTTTTTTTCTCCCAAATTGAACTAAGACATGGCACCTCTTGGGAGGGTTTTCTCCCAGTCCTTGACCTGTTGGAAGGGGAGAGTCTGTGCTTGTATCCCAGCACTGTCACCTTTGCATGATCCTGGGGGTTTTGTGCTCCCATCCATGTGTTGTCTGTGGGTGAGAAAGGCAGACTTTCTCAGGCTTTTCCATAGCTTGTTCCATAGCCCTCCCCAGGTCCTGCTCTGCTGGGTAAATATCCCTCCTGGATTCTTGTCCTGCATCACCCCCCTGCTTGGTGCTTATGGGGCTCCAATATATATATATATATATTTCATTAAAGTTTTAAGGACATTTAAAGAGATAAAAAATATAAGTATTTTGTATAGAGTAGTCTAAAGTGGTCACATCTAGAGGTATCAGGGTAAAACCAGACAGTAACAGGAAGAAATAACAGAGATTATTTCATGTGCTTTTCCAAGCAAAGTAGGAACCCAGGTTCATAGAAGGAGCATGTTCTTCTGAGAGTGTCTCACGGATTATCCAGTCTGAATCCCAACTAATCCCAGTATGAAGAAATCAAATGAAAATTAAGTACTTAATACTTACTTCATGGTGGGTCTGTATTTTCCAAGCCTATTAAGAATATAGCTCCTGACAGGATTATGAGGCTGACTGCATTGTTGCTCATGTTTCTATAGGTGGAAAACATGCTTTTCTGTCTTGTGCTGGGATGTAGGAGTAGAGACTGTGTTGTTGAATTTTCTAAAGGCAACAAAAACAACAACCACACAAAACAACCTGAGGGTGATTAGTACTTTTCATCCAGGAATCTTCCCTGAAAGCATGCACTCTTTTATAAAAAAGTTATTACAGAAAATGCCAAAACAACAACAACAAAAAATTCTGTGCATAGTTGTTCCTGTAGGGAAGCAGATGTGGATCACAATCAATTTCCCAGTGGACCAGTGCAAGTTGTAGCTCTGTGCATGGTCTGGATCAGTGTGGAGCTGTCAACAGCAGAATCCTCCTCATCTTTGAGGATTGTTGTTTGCATCCAGTGCCAGAAGGCCCTGAGCTGGGTGTGAGGTGACCCTTAGCTCTGACCAGGCACATCCGTGAGCTACAGCAGGGGCAGGGGCTTGGTAGTGCCCTTGGTCATTATTTCTCTTGGCCACCATTGTCCTGTATAATCTGGGACTGTATCATTTCTGGCTTGGTGGTTCTCTCTCAGAGGCCTCACACCTTCTGGAGTCTCTTCAATCTTCTGGCAAGAGCTGGTGGGCTGAAGGAAGATTTCCATGTAGCAGAGGGTAGGGGACACTTAAAATCAATTACTATGTCACCTGCCAGGCCGTCACCATCACCTTCTGCGTGGGTGTCTGCAGTTAACATCTCAGTGATTAATCATTTTTTCCATTGGATGTAGAAAGGCATTCTGGCTTAGCAAATGGCAGTTTTCAAGAGTTGGAATTTCTGTTGGACAGGAAAGGAGCACAGGAACAAATGTCCTTCAGGATGAGCTTTTGAAAACAAAACTTGCAGGTGTTGATCTGTGTTGCTTTCTTGCCATGTATTTGCTCTTTGCAAGTAAAAGAACCTGGATGTTTGATGAAGTTAAATAAAAAAAATGGTGCTTTGGGATTTATTTTTAAAAAATCCCAACCTTTGATTTCACATCTCTTAATTTCAAAAGCATTTCATCTGCAGTATAGCTAATGACAGACTAGTGTGGTCATAATATCTTCTTGTTCATCAGTTTTGTCGGGAGGTTGACAGAGTATTTCCCAAGTTGGCTGATTTTGAGGGATCTAAACTCACATGGTGGTTACCACCATGATGCTGACATCACAGACTGATCAGTGTGGTCCTGTTCTCAGATTGCTGGAAGCACAGCTCCAGGACCAGAGAAGGGAGCACGAGGAGGAGATGGAAGCTCTGAAAAACCAAGTGGATTTAATGCAAGAGGAGTTGGAGAAGCAGCAGCAGGCATTCCTGCAGACTCTGCAGCTCTCTCCAGAGGTCCAGGTGGAGTTTGGACTTCAGCAAGAAATTACACGTCTGACCAATGAAAACCTGGTAAGAAGCTGTGCTGAAAAGACAGAGAGCAAAAAATGGTTTGAGAGAAGGAGATATGAAGCATAATGTGGAGGGAAGGGCACTAGGATCCCTTTCACCCCTCCCAAACTCTGCAGAATCCATCAGCATCTCCCACTGGTGCATTTGGGAGTGTTGGCACTTGGCCTTGAGCTGATGTTCTGTGACTGTATGACTTTTGTGACTACATAGGTGCTTTATTTTTAAATTTTTTAAATGCTTTTTTAAGCCTGTCTACTTTGTGGCACTGCCTTCCAAATCAGATCACTGGGGACCCTTCTACTTGCTTAGGCACAGAGGCAGCACAGGTCTTTCATCTTACTTGCTTATACTGGGAGTGTGGAAAGGCAGTTGCCACTTCAAAAAGTTGGCCTGGATGATCATAAATCTTCCCTTTCTCCCCTTCTGTATCAGTGTGCAAAGTCAGGAGGGAATGTTGACACCTCCTGAGCTTTTGCCTTTTTTCAACAACTCCAGTATCTAAATAAAACTGTTTAAATGTGATTAACAGGCAGGATTAAATGCTGTGGGTAGTGCTCCTCTTCCACTGAGATGCTCACGCCATGCCTTGGTGATGCACAGGCCATACTCCAGCCTCTAACTCACCCCAAATGAGTTGTTCTTGGGTTTAATGTTGGGAGTTCTTTTAAATGTATCTTCTGTCTTTCAGGATCTTAAAGAATTGCTGGAAAAGTTGGAAAAGAATGAAAAGAAACTGAAGAAGCAGCTGAAGATTTACATGAAGAAAGTCCAAGATTTTGAAGGTGACTTGTGCATTGGGAGATACTGGGTTGGGGGAAAACTTCACTTGTGTTTTACTTCTTTGGCCAGTCTTGGAGAGCTGCAGGGTTTTAGAGTTTTTTTTCTATTTTTCTTTCTATGAAAGTAAGATTTTCCTTATTCTGGCACTGAACTAGCAGCAGGCACCGAGCTGACACTGACCCCTTACCAGGGTTTGGAGGATATTTGAGGAAACTTTTTTGCTGTCATTGCAGTCATTGCTGTCATTGCAGTGACCCAGGCAGAGATACAGAAAGGAGCCCAGTGGCCAGCAGGGAAATGTTCTGATCTGTCAATTTTGAAGGGGAAATTATAACTCTTTAGTATCAAATTGTGTATGTATATTCTGCTTAATGAGAAATCACCTTAAATGTGGCATCTGCGTTGCATAGAAAGCACTCCCCGTTCTCTGGAGAAGCCGTGATTAATCAGAGAGCTCCATTTAATGAGTTAATTTCTGGAAACCAGGCATTAAGTGAAATTTAGCTGAATAACTGGAGGGTTTCCACGGCTTGCCCAGCTGTTCCCTGTCAGTGTGATTTGCATGCTGCTTGCTGCAGTATTTGCATGCTGGTCTCTTCTGCTTTATTACACTCCAGCAGTGTGCCACCATGGTGTGCAGCTTTGCAGGCAGACAGAAGATGCCATGCTTAGGGATTTTGCATTGCCTCCCTGCTTTTTGCCCGGCTCTGTGAAAATCATTCACTAGGGTTGCTACCTTCTAGCCTGTGGTCTCTTGGAAAATAAAAAATGTCTTCTTTTTTCCTCTTCTAAGTTCAAGTTTTGCACTTTTTCTGTCATTCAGAGTCAGAACTCTGTGGACTGGTAATCCAGGACTGATTGTTTTTATTTTTGTAAGTCTGTCAAAGCTGATGACATTATTGGGAGTTCAATATATAACTTTTTGACTTGGTGTCTGCACCAAGGCCAGTGGAGGGCCTGAACACTGTTGATTCCCAGGTGCCAGCCGGGTGTTGATAACCTTTTCTCTTCACAGCATCCCAGACAAAAGTGCCAGTGGAGAGGAGGTCACATGAGAGGAGCATGCAGGTTGCTGTCCAGAGGAAGGAGAAGGATTTTCAGGGCATGCTGGAATATTACAAAGAAGATGAGCCACTCCTTATCCGAAACCTCATTACAGGTGGGGAACTTGTTCTGCTTCTCTGCCTGACTACTCCTTCTCGTGCCTGGAAGAGTTTGTAAACTTGAGATTAAAAAACGAAGGTAGACAAATAGATCTTCTCAATTGATCCCTTCTGGGGTTGCATGTTTGTGGTGATGGCAGTTTGGGTAGGTAAAGTAGTGCTGCACCAAGCAGATAGACCAGGATGGACACAATCCCTAGGGATAGCAAACAATGGGAAACACAAAGCAAGGCTAGTTTTTAGAGCAGGCAGTAACTTCTAAACTCACATGCTGAGCTTCATATGAGGTGATAGATGGGGAGGGGGTGGCAGAAGGACAGACCCCTGGGTCTGGCAGAAGAACAAAGGTAGCTCAGTTTATGAGGTAATAACAGACTACAGATAATGAACTTGTGATCTCTTCTGCACTGCACAGGCTGCTCAGATTTGCTGCAGCATCCCCTCACTCAGTGCTGTGTCAGAAGTCAGGCTTCTCTGGCAAGGTGTTGGCATTCACTACAACTCTAACCCCAGCAGAGCCTAGTGGGGATCCAAAAAGTGTTCACAGAGCAGTGCTAGCCCATTACTGTGGGCACTGAAGTTCCCCTAATCAGACAAGTTTGTTCTTCAGAGGCTTCAAATGCCCACAGCCACCATTAGGATTCTGTGTCTTGAGGGAAGGAGTGATTTAATGTGTCATCAATTCAGGGGAAGGACTTACTGTGTGAGGTATTCCTGAAAGCTTCAGGGAGCTGTTCTGAGGTGGTTTTGTGCTGCTGGGGGAGGGTTTTACAAGGTAGGGAAGCTCTGGCTCCACTGTGCATCCATAAGGAGAAATGGGGTGTTGTCACAAACCTCAGTGCAGGCAGGGCTGCCCTCCCAAGCCTGAGTGCTGAGGTCTGGGGCGGGTCCCTCTGTCCTGCAGCTGAACCTCTGGCTCTGTGTCCACTCTGCAAGAGGGATGCAAGTTGCAGAGCCAAAATATCGTTTTCCCCAGCACTGAGAGAAGAGGGGTTTGCCTGGGTACACTCCAGCTCTGGCGTTCTCTGCTTCACTTCTCAGTTGGGGAAATTTAAGTTTGGTTTTTTTTTTGTGAAATCTTTCATTTTTTAAATTGTCAAATCTTCCAGATCTCAAGCCCCAGGCAGTGTCTGCTACTGTTCCCTGCCTTCCTGCCTACATCCTCTACATGTGCATCAGACACGCAGATTACATCAACGATGACCAGAAGGTGCACTCCTTGCTCACCTCCACCATCAACGGCGTGAAGAAAGTGCTGAAGGCAGGTGTCCAATTGCTCTTGTCTTGGGCTTGAGAGGCTGTCAGGTGGCAATAACCATGTCCAAGAGTGTGACACTCAGCTCTCACAGTGATTTTCAAGCCAATTTGCTCTTAGAGTCTGCCTTTTTAGAAGAGCGAGGAGAATTGTGATCTTAGCAATAAAACTGTTGGAATTTAGAGGTAAAAAAAAAAAAAAAAGTTTGCAGGGAAGAACAGCTAATATTGCCCAGATGCAGAGGGAAAGCTGCCTGATTATGGGTGGGGAAACTCAAAATTGGTTAGTTTTGTGATGAAAGGGAGGGGGTGGAACCTCACGTGTTTTCACTCTGTCTCTGCAGAAGCACCAGGATGACTTTGAGATGACATCGTTCTGGCTGGCCAACACGTGCCGGCTGCTGCACTGCCTGAAGCAGTACAGTGGGGAAGAGGTGAGACCCGGCCTGGGGGTGGCATCCCTGTGGGACAGTCCTGCCTCCTCCTGGCACCAGGGGCTTCCCTCTGGCTGGGGATGGGGATGGGTCTGCTCTCACTGCCCTCCTCGGTTAATGCGGGTACAGCACGGCTATGATCTGGGTATAGCACAGCTAGCTTTCCCTGGAAAAGCTCCTAAAAGCACAGAAGGGTTTGGGTTGGAAAGGGACATTAAATCCTATCTCATTCCAACCCCCTGCCATGGGCAGGGACAGCTCCCACTGTCCCAGGCTGCTCCCAGCCCCATCCAGCCTGGCCTGGGACACTGCCAGGGATCCAGGGGCAGCCACAGCTGCTCTGGGCACCCTGGGCCAGGGCCTGCCCACCCTCCCAGCCAGCAATTCCTCATTCCCAATGGGCCAAAATCTGTCCCTGCCCTCTGGCCCTGGGAGCCATTGCCTGGGTGCTGTCCCTGCCTGCCTTGTCCCCAGGGGCTGTGCAGCTCTCCTGGAGCCCCTGCAGGCCCTGGCAGGGGCTCTCAGGTGTCCCTGGAGCTTCTCTGGGCCAGCCTTTCTATGCTATTTCTGGTGAGCCATTTTGAAAGCTGTTCTCCTGGTTTTAGTTCATGCCACAGCTTTTCATTAAACAATATTTTATAGCTTGAAATAAGTTTTTTTAAAGCTGATCCCTTTCAAAAGAATGGGATTATCACAGTTCTCCTGCAACATTACACACTGTCATCCTTGTAGCCTTGCATTCTGCATATTAAAGTTTTCAACAGACACAAATACTGTTTTTCTTTTTTTAGTCTTTAGATATCTATTTAGATATATTAAGCATTCAAAATGTAAGGAAAAAAAATTCATAAAATTAAATGAACTATTCAGGTCATTCAAGAGATAATGGTTTGTGTGTAAAACCTCAGCACTGGATTTCGAAGATTTAAAAATAAAAGTTAGGTTAAAAATATTTTAGAGAATACTTACTAGAAGCTGTGCTCTTGTTTGCCCTCTTCTGTCTGGATAAAAATACTGCATTTAGAGAAAATCCTCTCCAGAAAACTAGCTGAGTTAAAACCATGTGTTAAATTAATCAGCTGTTTGCGAATTCCTTTGGCAATTGTTGCAAAATAGAGAGGAGAGAAATACTACAGAGCTGTTTGCAAGATACTGTTATCTTTAGTTTTAAATCCAGCCTGTTTTTCAGAAAAGGCTTAAAAGAAAATCCCAGCCCACATGCTGTCTGGTGTCAGGTGAAGAGCATGGTGCTCTATGATTAGTCAGGAAAATGGGGAAATTGTGAAATCAACTCAAATTGGTACATGTTGTATTTTTGCATTTTGCCACTCAGCAACCAACAAAAAGAGTTTCACAGTTCTGATTTTCACACCAAGTAAGACCATATGAACAGGCAATTAAAGGATCTGTGTTAATTAAAGCATCCCATTGGCTTCTGTCACTAAAACTGGTATTAATATCTGAGCCCAGAACTGAGGGTTTACTGCAGCCAAATGCAGGATTATAGATCAGCTGTATCAGCAAAAACAGGCAATAAATTCAGTTGTTTCAGGATATTTATGAATTTCAGAACAATTTAAGATGTTGTCAAAGCAGCACGTGACATGCAGTCATAATTATTTTCAAGAATCCTTCAAGAATCTTTTTTCAAGAATTTTTTCTAGAATCTTAATTGAAAAATATTTTGTTTCCCATAAACAGTTGGAACTCAAAGGGATAAGCATGTAGCTAAAAGCATAGTTTCAGAAGGCCTAAAATGTTATTTTCTACTCCTATATATTGCAGTTAATACAAATGTGCAGATCCTTGCTAAGGATAAAATGAAAATCTGATAGTTTAATGATTTTCTTCAAAAGGTAGTTCTCTAATAATAATTTATAAACAAATGCCTAGGTAACTGAAAGGTGATTTATGAGTTTTGATCTTTTCTGTGATGCACTCTGGTAACATATTTTGGTATACTGTACTGCAAGGGTGCAGGGGGGTTTTAATGCAGAGGTTTTGATGGACTGTCAGTGGGTGGGATAATGAGCCTGAGTGTTTTAATCTCCTTTTCAGTGTTTCATGACCCAAAACACGGCGAAGCAGAACGAGCACTGCCTGAAGAACTTTGACCTGACCGAGTACCGCCAGGTGCTGGGCCACCTCTCCATCCAGATCTACCAGCAGCTCATCAACATTGCAGAGGGCATCCTGCAGCCCATGATCGGTGAGCTCACACCTGCTGGGTGCTTCTTGGCCCAGCTTATCTGCTCCAGCTGTTTTTCAGACCTTTGCACAGTGCCAGCACGACCCAGAGAGTTTTAATCTTCTCCCATGATAGGAGCTAATAGGGATGAGGGTTTTTCCTCCCACTCTAGAAGATATCTCTTTTATTTCTGTTGGGGAGGCAGTGGAAGAGGTGAGGTTGTGCTAGTGGGTCTGCTGTCTCCTCCAGACCAGGTTTGTGGTTAATCTTTTTTGGATGGAAATGTATATTATAAGAGAGGAGAGGATTGGGAAGAGGAAAACGACTCTTTTTGAGGGTGTGAGAGCAGGTATGAGAAAGTTATCTCTTCAGCCAAATCCCTGAGGATTCATCTGAGGAATGCCCCATCCCTGGAAGTGTCCAAGGCCCGGCTGGACAGGGCTTGGGGCAACCTGGGATGGTGAACAGTTTTCCTGCCCATGGCAGGGGTGTTTGACCTAAATGGCCTTTAAGGACTCTTCCAAACCAAACTCTTGCATACTTATATGATATTTATGTGTGTTTTTAACAGTTTCATATTATCAGAGTGAACCATGGGTCTGTCCTGCTGTCAGTTCTTGCAGCATCCATGGTGCTGCATCCCTGAGACCGATACGTGTTCATTGCAGCCCATGGAGGGATCAGTTCTTCCCTCTAGTGACAAATAGATGGATGCAGGATTTTCAGCCCAATTCCCCCCTTTTTCTAGTGTCTGCTGTGCTGGAAAATGAGAGTATCCAAGGGCTTTCCATTGTCAAACTGGTGGGCTACAGGAAATACTCCTCCAATGCGGGTGACAGCTCCTACAGCTTGGATGAAATGATTCGCCAGCTGAACACATTCCACAGCATCATGTGTGACCAGGGCCTGGACCCAGAGATCATCCAGCAGGTGTTCAAGCAGCTCTTCTACATGATCAACGCCATCGCCCTGAACAACCTCCTGCTGAGGAAGGATGTCTGCTCCTGGAGCACGGGCATGCAGCTGAGGTGGGGCTGGGGCTTGGGGCAGGGCTGTGCTTGCTTAGGGAAGTTTTGTTAATGTTGTAAGTTGGTGGGAAATAGGGGGAAAAAGTGCACTTCTCAGTGCAAATTAGTTGAATCTTCCTTTTGCTACCCTCTCCCCTTCCCACGCTGGATCTTTCTATATTGCCCTTGAGGACAGTGGGCACAGCAAAATCATTTTCTGTGTAGATATTCTCAAAGGTATCTGGGTACTTTGCAGGATCTTGTTAGCATTTAAAAGCTGGTTAAAATCTTCATTTTAATTGTTGGAGGAATCTGAATGCTGTAGAAAAGCACCTCCCTTGTATTGTTTGGCTGTTACATGGTTCATCTATTTGAAAGATACTTGGAGTATATATTTTACTCTGAGCTGTTGAGTACTAAGCTTTGATCTGATTGTCTCTTGCTGTGTGTATCACAAAAGCACATCACAAAAAGCGACATGCACCAGCACTGCAACATACCCTGAGGCCCAAAGAGGAGTTTTGAAGATGCTGCTTTTTACCTCTCAGCTCACATCTTGTCTTGGTCACTTATCCAGGTTTAACATCAGCCAGCTGGAGGAATGGCTGCATGGGAAGAATCTGCAGCAGAGTGGAGCAGCACAAACTTTGGAGCCCTTGATTCAGGCAGCACAGCTCCTGCAGCTGAAGAAGAAAACCTCAGAGGATGCTGAGGCCATCTGCTCCTTGTGCACGTCACTCACAACCCAGCAGGTAGGGAGCAGGGCAGGGGTTTACAGCACAGGTAATTGAGGAGTGGGAAAGGGTGGTCTCTGCCAGCTCTTCAGTGGGCACAGCTTTTCAGGACTGGACACCTTGGCCCCTCCCAGAGGTGGTCACAGTGGTGCCCCTCACTGATGGCACTGGAGCTCCAGAAATGTGCAAAGATGAAACCCAGCCCCGAAGAGTTTGTTGTGTAAGTCAGGCCCTTGGCATTTTAAACCCGCCTAGCTCCAATTGCAGTTCTGCTCTCTCTGAGGCCTGCCCTTTGCAGCTTTCCCAAAACCCTCAGATTTTAAGGATGCCCACACGTATTGTCTTTTGCCAGCTCTTAAACTGGCTGTGCCTGCGGGATGCCCACCAAGGATTCCCGTTTGGGGCAGGATCTTTAGAAGTACCAACCTAGGCTGGCTGGATATGATCTTGAACTTTGAGACTCCATTCCAGGAGGATATAAACTCACATTTTTTACTGCTGGATTGCCTGTCCTTAATTTGATAATATTGTGGGAAGGGAGACGTGGGAGGTGTGAGCTGATTTCCAGTGGTTCTCAAAGAGCTTTTCTAATCTATCTGCACCACCCTGTCCTGTACATCAATTTTTGAGAAAAGCTGAGCGAAGGAGTGGGAGTGAGGGAGCATCAAGAGAAGTATTGTAGAGGTGACATCAGAAGTCATCCATGTCAGCATGTGCCAAATCTGTATAACTCTGTTGTCCAAGTCTGTTGCCAATTTACAGACGTTCCCATAAGAAGTGATTTTGACAGGTCCATCGGTCTTGCAACACTTTACAGGAGGCAAAGAAAAACACCAGGGTGATACTTCTGCTGCTTCTTTCCTCTGGTTTGTCATGGCAGACTTGTTGTGGCCATATCCTGACAACCTGCTGCTGGTGCTTTGTGTTCTGGAGAGGTTTAGCTTCTCACGACTGTAACCATGTTTTCTTTTTAACAGATTGTAAAGATACTCAATCTCTACACTCCTGTGAACGAGTTTGAAGAACGTGTGACAGTAGCTTTCATACGAAACATACAGGTAAATTTAAAGGGCTGTCAACTGGAGGGCACAAATGACATCTCTGTAGTTCTAGTGGCATCTGTATTAAATCAGTGCTAAACTCAGGCATTTTATAAAAGGCATGCTGCTGCAGGTTGTCCTGAATTCAGTGCTCTGTGTGTGCACACACTCTTACAGCACACAGCTGCAGGGATAGCCAGGCTGTTAATCACAGAGGGCAATAAGCACCCAATTCCCAAGCTCAGCTAATTCAGCTCTTCAGTAACAACACAGCTGAGGATTAAGGCTGCAGGAGTCAACAAAGTGTTGGTGAAATTGAGTTGCTTCTGAGATAGGAGGTAGAAATTGGCAACTGAAGGAAAAATAAACAAATTAAAGGCAAACACCTTTTAATGCTCACAAGGAGCAGGGAGAAAAAGGAAGGATATGTATTCAGCTACCCCCAGAACATATCACCCATGGTTGAGCAGCTGAATCAAGGGTGGTCTGCTGGTATCATGTAGTCCTGGTTTTGCTGTGCCAAGGGGATCATCTTGTTTCCAGGTCCTGTATCTTTGTGGTCGTGTAGAAAATGTAACCAGGCTCTCCTGAAGCAGTGTTTCCTACGGTCTGATAGAAGTTCCTGTAAATACTTGCTCAGAAGGAAAGGTGCTGCAGAAGAGAACAAAATAGTTCTCACCGTTTCCTGCAGTATCTGTAAAATGATGCACATTCTCAAACCTTTGATAGTGCAAAACACAACAAGAAAAGGCAACAACTGATACTAAATTTGTTTTCTTCTCCCACACCCAACAGAAGCAGTTGCAAGAACGGAATGACCCTCCACAGCTGCTGCTAGACTTCAAGCACATGTTCCCAGTTCTGTTCCCATTCAACCCATCTGCCATCACCATGGACTCCATTCATCTCCCTGCTTCTCTCAACTTGGATTTTCTCAATAAAGTCTGAAGAAAGTAGAATTAAACTCACCTCTCACACCCAGAGACTTCCAGCAACAAAAGAAAAAAAATCATAAAAAGAATTCAAGAGCTCTTAAAATATGGACCAAACAGGCTTATGGAAGAACCAGTACACAGTAACAAATGGATGCTAAAATGTACACTAAAAAAGACACTGGTCTGTATGTGATTTTTTTTTGGGTAATTTGCATCTCAGAAATAAGGATACTTGAAAAGTAGTTTTATTTTTTACTGCTTGATTTCATGTTGACATAGTTCAAAGCCCATCATCATCTCCAAAAGCCAGGAAGTGGGAGACAGCTTATTTTGATTTTCATAGGTGTCGATGACAAAAACAAAATTTGAGACACTTGTGCTGCCTTGAAGGATGTGTCATTTGTCTAGGAGCAGGTGGTCTTGTGTGTATGAATAGCAGAATATGCAGTTCTGCCTTCAATTCTTGCTAGTAACTGCATTCATGACAGTGAATTGGGAAAGTAAATTGCAGAAGGTGTGTATTTATCACACCATAAAGGTAAATGGCTGGGATGCTGCTTGTTTCCACTGATGTGGAATTTGTCACAAATACAAATACATTTTTCACAAATACATTCAGATACACTGAATGTGTTTAGGAGGAGCTGTTGCTCCTTAGCCATTGCTAAATATATTCAGTGTATCTACTTCATGGAAATTTAGATAAATAATTGGCAGGAATTTGTTCCATTGGACTTTCTTGCATTACCAAATTTACATTAGCAAAGGTTTTGTCCTAGTGAAATAATCATGATGCAAAGGACTGCCTTAAGCCTTCTGCTTCTAGCATAGCATCATCCTGATCCCTGCTATTGGCTTTCCTTGTGCTTTCGAGTCTGAAACACTTTCCTCCAGTGGCTGTCAAGGTTCTTGTACCTCTTACATGGCCAGTGTCAGAATCCCATGCACAGATCGTGCACAGTTTAATCCTCCAGCCCTACCTGTGTTCAGTGGGTTAATCCTAGCTGTAGGTGTCCATGGAAAAACTCCATTCAGTTCAGCAGCCATCCAAAATGTTAAGAATCATGCAAATACAAAGTTTGGATAAATGAAGAATATTTTAAAATTTTAAAAATTTCTAAAAGAGATGAAATGTTCTAAGACGAAAAAAAGCAAAAAAAAAAAAGCTGTCAGGTGGTATGTTAAAAACATTCATAAGCCATTTCTTTAAGAGAGAACCCAAAATACAACAACCTTAAATTAATAATTGCCTTCAATTCAGATTCTCTTAGTTTTGGTTTTTTTTTTTTTTTTTAAATCAGACTTATAAACTAAGCCAAACCAACACTCTGAGCTCACCACAGAGATGCTGAAGGAGAACAGGCACTGGTTTTTCCGTGGTCCTTGGCAGCACACGCGGGCAGGGGAGGAGGTGGGTACCCCGGGGTCAGTGCTGCTCCACGGCTGCTCAGCGTGGGGATGCTCCTGCCACAGCACCCCGTGCCAAACTGCAGCCAGGCTGGGGGGCTGCCAGCGTCCTGCCCTCTCCACTTCCACAGTGCTCTGGTGTAAATCCGTCTTAGCTCACCTGCTTTTGTGGCTTCTGCTGTGGTGCGCAGCTGCATCATGACTAAAAGCCTTCTAAGAAAAATCCACTCTCTCCATCTGACTCTTTTTAGCTGGTGTAAATCCAAACAGCAAATTTAGGCTGTCTACTCGGAGACTGAAAGTAGAATGTGAAGTTTCTTGGAGCTACACCACCTCCTGTCTGCTGCAGCTTCCTTCCTAGGCAAGGAGCGTGTTGTGATTTAGGCATCATGTATATAATCGGTGTATATACAAACTGCAGTAGTCCTGTATGTACTATATATGTATATGACTATCCAAAAAAGCACATTTTAAAAGAAACTGTTGAGTGCTCTGCAGAGTTATATTGGTCTATGCCAGTGGGTAAATACCTTGATCCAAACTGAACTATAGTTAAGAGCAACTGTTACCACTGAAGGACAGACTTCAGGCTAAAAAGAAATTTGTCCCCCCTTAACCATCACCCATTGAATTACAGATATTTTGCTTGTAAAGAGCCAGGATTGTCTCCAAACTGCAGTTCCTGGGCACTCACCCCTGCTGTGTCTTCAGCAGTGCCTTCATCTCCCCTGGCTGTACAATGAGGGTCATACCACCAGTCTGCTGCCTGTGCCCAGCAAGCCCTGCCACCCACTCACCCGCTGTATCTTTATTTATTTTCACCTACCTCTTTTCACAGTGAATGTCCTTGCAGTGCTCTGAATTTTGGTAGTTGTTGCCTCTCCCTTCTTTCCATGCTCCAACAGTCGTCATGGTTTAAAAGTAAATAATTCAAAGCAGGATTCAGCTTTTCTGTAAGGTGGTTTAAACAGAGAGCTGTTGCTCAGGATTCGTGCTAGGTCAGCAGTTTCAGGCAGTTCAGGTCTCTACCTCTTTCTGATGTAAATTATTTGGAGTACAATTCCCAATGCATTGATTAAACCTATGCTTATCACTCAGACTAAGCGACAGGTTGCTGCAGAATCCTCTTCTGCAGTGGCTTTGTTGCTGATTACCACTGTAAAATGTGCTTAATGGTCTTCTAGGGGATAATGGTCCTTCATTGGCACTTTCAGGATTGTAATTTATATATTCTTTCTTAAAAACTCTTAGTATGTGTAGATGGGAACTGGGATTTAACATCCTGATCTGTGATCATGTAGTTTATCCACTGAGATCCATCTGGAAGAGAACTCTGTATGAAATATCTCTAATATATGTTATCTTTTCTGTTAGCACTTTTAAAAATTTGTATTTAAATGTTAATTTAGTTAAATTGCTATGCTCAAGCATGCCTTCTTTCCTCAGATTTACACTTCTTTATTTAAAAAGCAAAATGATCACAAAGCATGGCTTAGAGAAAGCTGGCTCTTCTCCAGATCTGTCTTTATTTTTAAATATTGATTATTACGTTTAGCATTTTCCCAATCTGTGCCTTCAGCTGTTTAACTCAACCACTCTCTCTCTGAAAAAAGCATTAAAACAGTGGAATATTTTTATTATTCTGTCATAGAAAAAGTTGTCTATGGATATAAAAGCCTACTCATAAAATCTTACATAGAGGAAGTCTGCAAAAACACTTTTAAGTTCTTGGAGGAAAAAAAAACCCCAAACAATAGTGACCCACTCTGATTTCTACAAATATGATGGCTTATATCTCAAAAAAGCACTACTGGGAATAAAATAAAATAAATTAAACAATCAAAATGCCCAAATCACCAGCATTATGGAACAAACACTTCAAATATGAGTTGAGGCATATGCTGGCTGATCTACAAGAAGCATCCAGGACAATGTCCATGTTTCATTTTCACCAGAAAGTTCCTTTTCTTCTTCCTTTTATTTTTTTAATTGGCATTTTGTAGTTGAGATTGCTTATCTGAAGATAAAGCTGCTGTAGGTGACTGTAGACAAAGAACATTAGACCTCAAGACTGAATTTTTGCAATCCTACTTTACAAACATTTTTTTGCTCATGCAGTTTATTCCACTGGATCCACAAGAATTTCTTTGTATTTGTGAAACAGTACCAAAGTGTGGGCATGTTTTAAGCACAGTGGCTGCTTTTGGTCACCCTGTAACTTGAACACTGGAGTCTTTGCAGGACTTGATTCCTCGTTTGTGTGATTTGCAAAAGGTACAAATGAAAAAGCTGCACTTGAAACAACGGTTGTTTTCCTCCATTTTCAATAGTAAATTAGTAAAATTGTGCAAACTTATATTTTCAGACCATTAACTGAAAAATTAGCATTTTATCAGTGCATATAAATAGAACAAATTAAAATTAATTGCATGAATTTCCATGAAGCTTTTTCCTCAAACTTTATTGATTCACATATATATTACAGTCATAAATGGATCTTTTTTTCTTTCTGAAAGAAATTCTAGCAAGGTAGATGTTAAGTAAAACAATCCACAAGACATAACCCTGATGAGTATCCAAATTATTTCAAGGTGTGAATGCCAGTGGACAAAGACTTTCAGATTAATTTGAAATCAGAAGAAAAGAAGTATATTAAAAAAGTGCTACTATATTGAAATCTTTGGGGATATTTTTATTTTATTTTTTGTGGCGTGAAGTGTCATTACCTTAAGGAGCAGAAGGTATAGCTGCTGTCAAAGTTGAATGATATACATGAGTGAATACTGTAGATGAAATACTACTGCTTATAAAATATTTTTCCATTTTGAACAAATCTGTAAACTACACCTTTGTTTATAAGAAAATGCTTGTAATAGTCACTGTAATATTCAGCTGGGGATAAAAAAATTTGTGAAATAAACACTTTTGAAGAAATTGTGGCTCTTAGTCAAAAATGGGTATGCAAAAAATAACCTCTTTCAATATATACTCCCATCCAATAGAAACATTTCTAAGTAGCTTATAAACAGAAATTAAGAGAATCACTTTTACTTAGGACACGGAAGGTTTTAGAAGTTATAACCTGATTTCAGAGGTGCTGAAATATTGGCAACTAATTAGAAATTCACTGAGTGTGGAGTGTTATGGCCCTGAGAGCCATTGAAAATGAGTGGAGAAAAGGAGAGGAAAAGCCACCGGTTGTGCATGTGTAAATCACAGAATTCCAGAATGCTTTGGGTGGGAAGGGACCTAAAGCCCATCCCATCCCATCCCACCCCTGCCATGGGCAGGGACACCTCCCACCATCCCAGGCTGCTCCCAGCCCCATCCAGCCTGGCCTGGGACACTGCCAGGGATCCAGGGGCAGCCACAGCTGCTCTGGGCACCCTGGGCCAGGGCCTGCCCACCCTCCCAGCCAGCAATTCCTCATTCCCAATGGGCCAAAATCTGTCCCTGCCCTCTGGCCCTGGGAGCCATTGCCTGGCTGCTGTCCCTGCCTGCCTTGTCCCCAGGGGCTGTGCAGCTCTCCTGGAGCCCCTGCAGGCCCTGGCAGGGGCTCTCAGGTGTCCCTGGAGCTTCTCTGGTGCAGCTGAGCAGCCCCAGCTGTGCCAGGCTGGCTCCAGAGCAGAGGGGCTCCAGCCCTGGCAGCATCTCCGTGGCCTCCTCTGCACTGGCTGCAGCAGCTCCAGCTCCTTGTGCTGTTGGAGCCAGGGCTGGGGCAGCTCTGCAGGTGGGCTCTCACCTGAGCCCTGGGGCACAGTGGCAGGATCCCTTCCCTTGGCCTTAAATGAAGCTTAGATAAGAGAATTCAATGGCAAAGGAAGAAAATACAGCAAAACCCTTGTCTCTTTTTAAAGATAATGTTGCACGTTCACTGATTTATAGATTTACTAAATCATTGGAATTATTGAGAAAGTACTTGAGAGATTATTTTAAATGAAAAATGGGAGTCTTGACAGGATAACATTTTTTTCTTCTAGAAAATTTACAGAACTTTAGTGTGTCCCTGAAGACATATGGCAGTTTTTATTTGTACACAAAATATTTTCACTGGCTTCCCTGTCTTCTGCCTGGCAGCCGGCATGGTTCCACTGGAGCAATTATACAGATAAATCATACCTCAAGGTGCATTTCAGCCATCAGAACTCTGGAGGGTGGGTTTTGTGGTGTACCTTGGAGGTGCAGATTCCTGGTTGGGAGGGTGGGCAGGCCCTGGCCCAGGGTGCCCAGAGCAGCTGTGGCTGCCCCTGGATCCCTGGCAGTGTCCCAGGCCAGGCTGGATGGGGCTGGGAGCAGCCTGGGACAGTGGGAGCTGTCCCTGCCCATGGCAGGGGGTGGCACTGGATGAGCTTTAATATCCCTTCCAATGCAAGCCATTCTGGGATTCTAGGATATTTGTGTGTGTTTTTAACTATTTCACATTACCAGAGTGAACCATGGATCTGTCCTGCTGTCGGTTCTTGCAGCATCCATGGTGCTGCATCACTGAGACCGATATGTGTTTCATTGTCGGCTGCGTTGGAAAATGAGGGTATCCAAATGCTTACAGGTTTCAAACGGATGGGCTGCAAGCAGCTCCTGCTCATCTCCATCCATGTGCAGGGGAGCCAAAGCTTGGAATTAGGGGCAGCAGTGTGTCAGCCATTGATTGTGCACGAATTCAGGGCTGTGACCCTCCACAACCCCCTCAGGGAGGTTTATAGATCTCAGCTGCGCCAGGGCAGGGTCAGGTTGGACACCATCAGGAATGTCCCCATGGAAAGGGAGGTCAGGAACTGGAACTGCCCAGGGAGATGCTGGAGTGCCCATCCCTGGAGGTGTGCAAGGAGGGCCTGGACGTGGCACTGAGTGCTCTGGGCTGGGTGACAAGGTGGGGATCGGGTGACAAGCCAGACTCGATGATCTCGGAGGTGCTTGCCAACGGAAGCGATCCCACGATTATCTGCAATTAACCGTATCACGGTGTAATTACCTGTGAGGCGGGCGGCGGGGGAGCCTCTCCCCTCAGCCATCACCGCCGGCCCCTGCTCCCGCTGCCGCCGATTCGCCAAAACCGTACGGGAAGAAAATCGAACCACGCAGAAGCAAAGTATAAAAAACAAGCAACCGAAAATTCCCTCACATTTTAAATAAATTTATCAAACAACTAAAATTACGCGTAGAAAATAACTTTAAGTGAACTTCCTGCCGGCCCTGCCCAGCCGCCCCTTCCGCCCTGAGTGTGGCGAATGTGCGGGGCCGGCGGGCGGGCGCGGCACTCGACGGGCGCGGTGTGGCCATGGCGCTGCTGAGGGGTGAGGATCCCGTCCCCCCGCGGATCCCTGGCTCCCTGAGGGGCTCCGGGCGGACCCTGAGGGCGGGAGGTCACGGCTTGGACGCTGTAGGGGCCCCCAAAGCGAGGCAGCTGGTGGGGCTGGCAGGAATTACAAAGTAGAGCCCTCGAGAACCATTCCCGTGCCTCCGGAGGATCTCTCTCCCCGCTGTCCCGTCCGTGCCTGCTCGGCCTGACAGCTGGAAGTAATTAGGAACTTCCCAAAAATACCGGGCTGCGTGGGGTCAGAGGGTGGGAAGGAGGTGCAGAGGGTGGGAATGATCGCCGTAGAGTGGGAAGGGGGCTCAGAGGGTGGGAATGGGGTTGAGAGAGTGGGAATGGCGTTCAGAGAGTGGGAATGAGGTGCAGAGAGTGGGAATGTGGTGAGGGGATAGGAGTAGGGTTCAGAGAGTCAAGTGAGGTGCAGAGGGTGGGAATGGGGAGCACAGGGGGTGCAGAAGGTGAGGAGGGGGTCGGACAGTGGCAGTCACTGTGTTCGGCACTGTTTTCTGCAGTAATTCAGTGTTTGGCTTCCTGCGTGCTCGACTCAGTTGAGCTGCAAGTGCATAGCAAGGGCTGCGTGTCTGTCATCTAACTGGGAATTTGACTTGTGTGTCAGGAGCAATTTTTCCATGGAAAGGGCTGTCCAGCCCTGGCACAGCTGCCTTAGGCAGTGGTGGAGTCCCCAGCCCTGGAGGGATTTAAAAGTCGTGTGGATGTCGCCTTGGGAGTGCTGGGGAATGGTTGGACTCCACGGTCTTAGAGGTCTTTTACAGATGGTTCTGTAATTCTGTGATTCTCTGCTTATGTGCAGTGACTAAGTGACACCTGAACTGTCAGTGACAGGGAGTTTGTCACATACAGACCCTGCCTGTGTTAGCCCTGATAGTGCAGGATAAACTCCTTAAGTTGCCACAGCTCATGAAAGTGTTTGGTGCAAAGAGCTGGTTTATGCTCTGCATTGTTTAAATTCTGTGACTCTTAAAAATGAGGTAAATACACCTTTTGAGACCTGTTCTTGTGTGAAAACAAAATTGGAATTTATTGCAATGGGGTTTTTATCTATTTGACAGCACTTTGCTACTTGACAGACTGTACTTAAATAATAGCATACATGTCAGTCGTGGTGTGAGGTTGCAGTGCTAAGGTCTGTGTAGTCAGCATTGTGTTAATTCTGGTGGTTTTGCTGAGGTGGATAACACAGAGGGCACCTTGCCCATAATTGTTTGATTTTAGTTTTCTGTGCCTGCTGCAGGATTTTCTCTTATCTCAATCCACAACACTTTCATATACCGTTCATGCTTCTCAACTTCCTTTTTTATGTTATGGTTTGTTTTGTAGGCTTTCAGAATGTGATCTGATGAAGAATTATTTTCATACCAAGTGCATTTGAGATACGTTGGAGCATTAAGTAGTGTTTCAGTTCCCTGTTTGGCAGCAAGTGATTAACAAAACCAGTTTAAAAAATGTCTCAAGTGTAGTGTTTGGTCAGGATTCAGAGTGATCTTGGCTTTCTTTCCCCAAAAGTTGTCAGATCTCTATGCATTTGGTACTGTTCTGCTCTCATGCATTGTTTATCACCTTGGAAAATTGCAGAGACTCTGGAATTTCTCTGATAATGTAGGACAGAACTAAGTAATGGGAATTTAGGAAGAGTTGTTAAAGGTAAAGAATCCTTTTTCACTCAGGGCTTCGGCCACCCCTTGCTGCCTCTCCTGAAATTCTGGGGAGGCAGTAGCATTTGTAGGTGCCTCTCCAGTCGAGCAAAATTTGGCAGGCTCTGAGTTATGTCCCCTAAGGGAGTGTCTGTGTCCAGCTTAATTCAACATAACACAGACTGTGCCGCTGCTCCTTCATCTTCTCCTCGTACTGGTTCCGCCCAGTCTTCTCTCTGAGTCTCGAGTTATTGTTTTATTGAGCGGCCAGGAGGTGAACTCGAGCACAGGACGGATCCGAGTGAAAATGGGGCCCTCATTTTCTGCTGAGTTGGTGTTCAGCTGCCTCTGTTGTGTGACCTGCCCTGGTTTATTGGCCCCGTGGTGCTGTTGGGAAGTGGGCAGCAGTGAGCAGCCTCCGTGAAAGAGAGAGAGAGGTGCTGTTGATGTGGAAGGAGTGTTTAAGGGCAAAGTTCCATCCTCGCCCCTGCGCTGCTCGTGAGGCAATGCCGCGGTGGATATGACTGAACAAATAATGTGGGTGACCGACAATCCGGCCAGGAGGGAGGAGAAGGGCTTCTTTTAGCATGGTCAGGCCCCAGCAAGGCTTTGTGGTCAGTCAGGGCAGGCACAATTTGGAGGAGGCAGGGAATCAGTGGACGGGAGGAGTGGTGGAGAATGTGAGTGTCAAGGCCTGTTTGGCTGCAGGAAGGATATGCCATGGAGGGAAGGTTTAGATTGAGTATTGGGAAGAAATGCTTTGCCATGACGTGAGCCACTGGTCCAGTGGTGCCCAGAGCAGCTGTGGCTGCCCCTGGATCCCTGGCAGTGCCCCAGGCCAGGCTGGATGGGGCTGGGAGCAGCCTGGGACAGTGGGAACTGTCCCTGCCCATGGCAGGGGGTTGGGACTGGATGATCCTTGAAGTCCCTTCCAACCCAACCCATTCTGTGATATGAGTCTGAGGATC